GAGGATGTATCACGTTCAAGTATCTAGTAAGTAAATACCGTATCAAAACTTCAGTACAGCATACTCTGCCATTGGTTGCTAGTGCACCCATTTGATTCAAAATAAAATAGCATAAATGTCGTCATTTTCTGTTCTATTTTAGATCACTTCTGGAAATTTTTTCACATGACGTGATATAGAATAGAGTTGTGAATTACTTTACGCAAATAGAAATACTGCAAGAAATTTTGCATGTCTTCCTTATTTCCTATTGATTTGCTACATTGTCACTTAATCTTTCAGTCGCAATAATCGCAGCATTCCGTTCTCAAGGAGTCCACAACACCTTAACATATAAGTATAATAAGTGAACGTTGATGGATGATTTTAGTGAGAACGTAGGGGCTCCCTAGTATAGCACAATTAGGATTGAAGCACATAGGAGTCGAGTTCATCGTCCAAACCCACAGGTGAACTGGTCCTTCATTGTAGATGAGGATCACGAACGAAACTCACAAACCAACTACTTTAGGATAAAACCAGAATAGCCAAAGTTGTGATAGACCTAAAAATTAATTCGTTTTCTTGATTCATGAAATGATGAGGCATCTCAAAAGTAGTAGTAAGTAGCCAAGTGAAATTCCTGCGTCCTGCGCTGTAATAGCAGACTGATTAGCTGCACTGTGAATTTGCTGTGAGTATAATAGCTTCCCTGGGGATGTCTTAAAATCACCACTTGTAAACATATTATGATAGAGTTAGAATAACGAATCAGCTTCGCAAACAATATGGGTGACGGTTATTTTCATCTGATTGAAATTGTTTTCCATCTGAATAACAATGAAGTAACATTTGACCGTACGAGAGTTAATCCGGTCTGTATGGTATTAGGTGGTTTGGAAACAAATGTCGGGTTTTTAATTTCGGTTTTCTTGTATATGTTATAGCAATAGATAGCTTTCTTTCTCTCTGATTGGATTATAGCCAAAATTGTGATTTTGACAACTATAAAAGGCTAAAATTTCAAGTACTTAACTAGCAATTTCGAAGAATTTGTTAACCATCAAGGACAAAACTGCTTTTACCGAGTTCATGGATTCTAGAAATCCAAATTTTTGCTCAGTCGACAGAAATAAACTTGTTGTCCGGTTGGAAAAAGTGTGGAGAATCTAGTGTTTTTACCTCGACTAGTGAAATATCTTGTGGACTGATACATGTCCCTTTAAAAACGCAGGTTAAAATCTGTCATTAATTTCCGAATAGTCCGATAGCAGCTGTAGGAGGCCATTAAACCAACAATAGGCATCCCAGATGTTATTTCTGATATTATTACAAATAAAAGGAAAATCACCGACAACACAAAATATTCTACAACCAATTTTCTTCCATATTTTTGCACAAGACTCTAAAGAAAATTGCTCTATTCTTAATGAGGATGTTCAGTTCGCTTATTCTTAACAGCAATTATCATGAACTTTACTTCAATGTGACCAGGTTTTGTTTTTTTTAGGTGTTTAGTATAGTTAGAATCTAAAAGGAACGCTAGTAAGGCAAGCGGAATCATATTTCTCTAACATCGGTGAATATTGCGAAGCTTATTGTAGAGGAACTGTGTTCTATCACTTAACATTACAGTCACTCGAATGCGGCTTATTCTTAGCCTTCCTTAAGCTCTAATCAATTAGGGTGGAAAATCTAAAGACTTAATATTCGTACGGCGGTTATTTATTCGAAGTGGCGATTAGAAGTCGGGAAAGAGCTACCTCCGATTCACAATCGTTGCAGATTGGTTATGGTGAGCACGCGGGAAATCAGCTAGTAAACCTTTTCCAGGACTCTAAGAAGAATCTGGTTGACCGAAATTCAACAAAATTCATAAAGAAGGTAAGCAACAGCCGAACCGAACCTCGAATCTCAGAGAGGCCCTGTGCCTAAGGGCTACGAAGAAATGTCATCGATTGTGCCAAATAAACGGAATTTTAGTCATGTCAGTTCTTAAGCCATTGTTGATCTATTCACCCACGTAATATATATTCCTATCAATCTTTTGATTTCCAGGAGAACTCTATAGAAATTTGTTTGCTGTATTCACCTTATGGATAATGCATATTTGACATGTTGAGGATTTACCCAAGCTAACCGTCACCGTCATTGATCGTGTTATCTGAATATTTCAGTATAACGCAAACTCATACACGCTATTTCTGAGAATTATTTAAAGCCATGTCCGATTTTCACCATCGTGTAGATGTCGTTAATGGAAAATTCCTAAGCAACCTATCGACACATTGAGAAAACCAGAGAAGCATTTGTATTAAGGTATCATGTTCTAATTGTACTGTACTGATACATTAAGAAAAAAACTAAATGGTTGTATTAAAGGATTAAACCTAAATTACGGCAACTCTTACGGTACAGTACTATAACAAGTATTTTCTTATTTTACAACTAAGGCTAAATTAAGATCAGCTTGAAAACTGCAACAAGCATGTTTTGAGAGGGCGCATGTAGCGCAGTGGTCAAGGGCGCCCTGCAACACACACGTGGAATCGATCTCCGCGCCCATGGCCCAGCAATTCTTTCGTCACTCCGAGGTCGGCAAAATGGTACCAGACTTGCCTGGGAGGATATCAGCACTGATTCGATACATCGGTAGGTCACCGCGGGTGGGTCACAACGCCGAGAGCTCTATCCTTTATCCTTTTTTATCTTAAGTTAGTAAGCAAACAGCACCAAGTATAATTTGAACAAACAAGAACTACGTAAGTATATGATCAAGTGCAAGATAATGTGGTAAGATTTCTAACACAGGAAAATCCAGCTAAGTATCTGTCTGGCTTTTGTTGTTTTTTCTAGAAGTAATCCAAAGTTATTAAGGAGATGCGGCTTGCGATGCAGTTTTATATTGCTCGTAGGTAAACTAAGTGCGCTAGCTCTTGTCCTGGAGGAAGGCTGATCGCATGCAGCATCGACACGATACATATGGGCCCGTGAATGGCCATGACTTGAAAAGATTTAAGAATAATCTAGAGTGCCTATGAAATCGGAATTCCATAGGAAAGATCTATCTAGCACTTGGCATTTAAATGGGCGCAAACGACGAGTGATCGTCAAGTGCGAAAAAAACACGTACGAGCCCTTTTACTTTCCTAGATGATGGGAACGAGACAAAGGAACGATTGGAAGAAGTACTACGTATGACATATTTCTGGATGGTCTATTTTAGTACCCAATATCTGACAAAAAGAATGTTACACAAGGCCGCAACTGACAAGGTAGTTCCTCTTGGACACGGAAGGCATACTGGAGAACTTTCTGCTGGAATGATTTCTTGGTATTTCTATACGTAAAAGTTTCGTCCTGCACCAGCGATCAAAAATGAAAGACGCCGTTTATATGCCAAATTGTCGATGATGAGGTGGGTCGGACACGCAATGCTTATGAACGACAAGCGATGGACAAGAGCTGTTACTAACAGGATTCCACAAGATGTCAAACTTAATGCAAGAAGGTCACTGACTCGATGGTCAGAGTTCTTAACGAAAGTGGTAAAAAAAAATGATGCTCAACGAGACGCTAGAGTGAGCAGGTCCCACTTGGTTCCTTTCCAACGCGTAACGAAAACCAGAAGATTTACTAGCACCTGTTCGACTCAACGATCAGCGAGACGGCAGGTGATGAAGGACGGATGGTATGCGAAACATCACATTCGTCGGTGAGCGCATAGGCATTCTCATATTCTTCAGGAATAGCTGTTCTTAGCTAGGTCAAAAAACTAAAATCTAGTGATCAACAAGTATATTGAAATTGGTCGGAGTTCTTCTCGAGCAGGAGCTTAAAGTATCCATAAAATAAGTTTTCCTTCAGTTTATTCACCACCGAACCAGTGAGCAACCTGCAAATATTCGTTGACCAATGTAATCAAAATATGGGTCCACATAACAGAACTTGATGTTCTTCTAATCCTCTGAACCAGCGGAGGTCACCATGTTAGCACATGTTCATGAGGATGATTTATTGCTTTATTGGTGCGCCGATCGAGCCCATTACCATTAAAACATGAAGCGAGTGTTGTCTATTAGTAATCGTTTTTTACTAATCCGAGATCTGAACCTCGTTCTCCATTTTACTTGGTCAAACATGATCATCCATCAAACATCTCCAACGTTTTCTATCACCTACTAATGAAATCGAAGAAGCTAATGACCGACTTGACCATTACTCTTCTTATTACAAATATTATATCTTTAATTAAATTAACAAGTTTATAATTTTACCCACTTCAGTTGCTCTAGTTGAAACGTAAGCTCACTGAGACTAATTTATTCATTTCCAGCTACTAAGACTTATTGAAAGTGTCTACAACGAGATGGAAAATACTTTTCAATTAGGAAAAAAGCAAAGACCCCCGGAAATAAGAATATGGGAGATTTCGCTAAGAATTAGCAGGTATGGGATAACAGCTGACTACACAGTGGGCGCAACGTCAAAAAGGAAAGTGTTGAAAAAGGCAGAAGGGGAAGCACTATGGCAACCGTTGAAGGTTTCAACTTTGCTCGGAAATCCACAATATTTTATTTTTATTAGGGCATTACTTGATAAGTATCTCATTGACAACGTGATTAATTTCGTAGACATTTATTGGCTAGCAGTCGAGAAGTCCAAGAAAATCAATGTGATTTCAATTATTTCTGAAAAAGCTTACTTAGACCGCTTGGTAGGCCATCCACCGTTACGATCCATATACCAGAACGTTTTTTATTCTTTGCTTACCTTCTAAGTGGTTTTCGTAGTGGTAATCTCTTTCAAGTATAGTGGTTTCTGCGTTTACCTGTTATTATCGGGATCCGTGAGCTGTTTCTTGCTTCGTAAACAGCTGGTTGACCTTGGCCCAGAATAAGTTTTTCCACTTTTTAAATGGTTACCATGAGGGTTACCATACTTATGCTGTTTTGGGACGCAGTGTTCTTCTCGTCCATATATTATCAGCTAGTCTTATCTGTTGGTGGGCCAATTCTTACTTCGCTTTCATTTTGCACGCCTTTCGACGGTGAGATAAATTTAGGAAATATCAACTGTGTAATCCAGCTTAATTCTCTATTCTTTTCACACTTCTAAAGAGAAGATATTATTTAAGTGCTTTCCGTTTTAGCTCTTCAGCTAGGCCTTGACTGAATCGTTAGACGAAATCTATGACTACGGAACTCTGCGATCATCATCAGTAGTAGTCATCAGGGAAAAGTAGTTTTTACAAGAACCCGAATCCGATTCGTGTTGCATCCCTTCTTCAAAAGTCTTCTTCGTTAATAGCTTTGCTCGTTGGATGCCTTTAAGAACGTATGACGCTACCTCCTTGGTTAAAAAAGCATCCGTTTCAACTTTTCTTCCACAGTACTATTGCTTTCTCACAGATTTGACTTTCTTGTGAGTTATCTGCAGTCCTACTCTTTTTCCTGTCTTCGTTGAGTTCCACGAATGTCGTTCTGCTCTACTGGTACTACTCAATGAGATAAGGAGTTTATCCAAAAACAACGAAATAAACCAGAAGTTCGTTCGAAAATCATTTTATCTCAATCTTCACCCACTGTGTTACTGCCGCTAACGACTTTGCTGAACGATATAGCATTGCTGGACCAAACTCCATTGGCAAAAGAGTGGTAATGAGGTAAAGAAGAAGCCATTTTCGTCAAAAGCACCTTAAGTGTTTATGTAAGACTGAAATAGGCTTGGTCGACAATTGCACATGAGACGGCCTTGCCTTCGCCGATGTTGAATGGTTTTTTTTGGAGTCTGCGAGAGCGAGAGCTTGAACAAAGACCAGTTAACATTGCCGACGTGACACTCTGAAATAGGAAACGACTGGAATAGTGTCCGTGCAGTAGGATCCCTTTCGGCATCATAGCTTTATCCGAACTTCTTGGTATGTGTTGCTTCCACTTTCTGACCATAATCGAGGCAGGCGTTAGTAAATAGTGATGATGCAACAAAAAATGAGATAGTGGATGACTCGAGCGTCGTATACTGACGGCGATCCCGCTTTATTCACTAGCCAGCTGAACCCAGATAGGGAAGAAGATAAAGAAAAAACACGGCTGCCAACGTCAGCAATGTTTGAGGAGATTTGCTGCCGCATGCCGATAACGGAAATTCCAACCTCTGCTGTAGCATCCTCGACGTTGTGCGTTTTCTTCGAAAATGAACAACTTTTTGAAGGGAGATCAGGAAGAATGCAAAATGGCACTAATTTGAATCAAAAGTATTTCTACATTATGTCTTAAATATATGCTGAAATAAAGGATAAGGCATAAAATGTCGGCGTTGATTTATCCCTTGGGGGTGCGCCGTGTATTTTGCTTTATTCGTAGCAATGCAGAGGTAATAAAGTGTATTCGTGGCCTATACAATGGCTTTTACCTAACCATACAAGTCTTATACTACTTTTGCAGACTCTGGAGAGAGACTTGGTTTTTCCAGGGCATCAGGTCCAACCAAAAGCAATTTTCGTATTAGGGAGCGCCTCTAACCATTACGCTATGCGGTCGTCATAGCTGTACCGTTGCGTGGAGTCTTAACAATTTTCGTTTAGAAACATCATTTACAGTACCTACTATACAAAGCCTAGCCTCAAGCGCAATGTAGTGAGACATCAATAGAGTCTAAACATTGTCACCACCTCCCATCTCTGGTTCACATTGGCTTCTACGTCGATCAATTGTTGACCAGCCGGCTCACATCTGTATGAATGGCATGGAAGCATGCTTACACCAGCTTTTATAAGAGACAAATCTACATTCAATATTTTTCTTTTTGCTTTTTAATAAAACGGGATACATCAACGACGTGACGATTATCATCAGTATCTTCATGTAATAAACAGTTAATAGCTTGCATAGATATTTGTATACATGCGTGTACTCTATGTTTAGCACTTTAAAAAAGTATAACGAAGCAAATGAACCACCCTATTAAATGTTGACAAGGACTAATTATGTTCACCCCATAGTCACTTGGCTATTTTGAACTCAGATATTGGCTACTGCAGAAGAAACCCAATTAATAAACTTTGAGTCAGAATTTAAATATGTCTATTACAAAATGAGGATAGGAATCGATATTGAGTTAAGCCGAAATGAGCTAAGGAAGGCGACTGAGAGCAAAATAGCGGAAATGTGATCGGATAAACTCCATCCGGCAACCACTTACCACTTAGCGTTCAACTACAGAAAAATTTCATATTATAAAACGGCTGATTAATTTGTTCTTAAGCGGAAAACACAACAGGGACCTTAGGTCTTAGGTAGGTAAGAGGAATCGACTAGCTTTACGGAATTACAAGAACATTTAGAAGGTTATAGTTTTTGGTTAGGACAGTAATCATGAGAACTTCAAGAATACTTGCATATTCCAATACCAAGTCGGAATCGATCAAGAGAGCAGTATTTTTTGTTTTTGTGGTTCAGAAAGTAAACTTCTTTAACAAGGTACTATTGTAGCGTAAGTGAAGACCTGTGTACGAGCTTACTTGTTCTTTCATCAGTCATTAATATGACTCCAACCCCAATTAAGTCTGAAATCGTCATTTCATTCATGAGCGTCAAAACTGCCAAAATTGCTCACGTCCTCAACAGGGACTAGGCAGGTTATACTTTTGTATGAGGCATTTTAATCCTGTAAGCTTTCACGTGAAACATGACTAATCGGCATTTCATCGATGTCTCCGCTAGTGCTGGCTACACGCTGCCAAAATGTTCTGCTTTGTCGGATTAGACGTTAACAAATCTTGTTGTTCACGAGAATTTTAAGCGCTTCCCCAAACTTTCTCATGTACTTACCCATAACTCGATAGCAAGCAGGGGTTTTTGCCACTACGACATATATGTGGCCCGTAAACATAAACACGATTATAAAAGAATTCATGAATATGTTTACGGTCATAAGTGAATCTGATACAGCAGAAACAGTTAACCTGTCTTTTTAGTACATATGCATATCAAGGCGGGTAAATATCCTGTCTTCCCAGTTACCCTCTGTCCATGGTTAGCCAAGTATCCCTCTCGTATGAACGAGCCAAGCTAACCTCTCGACTAGTGGTCCTCATATCCGTTCTGTAAGGATATGTGCGGGATTGTATAGGAATACATCATAATATACTAATGTAACAAAGATATCAAAAAGTCGTTCTGGCGTCTTTCGGTACGGAAGTGCGAAAATCGTCGTCGTTTTAGAAGAATCCTAGCGGCTAGAGGTTAAGATGTCCTTCTATATATAGGGGCCAGTGACTTCTTATGATGAAGTTCTGGGATCACTTCTGTAGGTCTATGTTGGAATGTCAAAGTAAACTGCACTATCACAATTCATTGTATCAATGGCGAGAAAAAGCAGAAGGTTTTCGAACACCAAACGAACTTGTTGACCTTCATGGGTTACGTATGAATGCCAACCAAGAGAAAGGTAGAGCATCTATGTACCTAACTGGTGAAGATAATAATGTGCGAACATAAGTAATAAGTTCGGGTAATCTCAAAATGTCCTACGAAGCAAAGAGTTAAATTAGATGCTAACACTTGTTTGATGGTAATTATTTGATATGACAGAAATTCTTAGCAAACGATTTTCATTAGGAGTTATTCATTTAGGTTCGGGAATTGACGACGGCGAGATAGGAAAACATGTGGGAAGCTGTGACCGAATATGTAATCGCGTGTCAATGTTAATGAGAGGGCGATCTCTGGATTATGATGACTTACAAAAGTCACAGCATACGGAAACACGGAATTGTATACACCAGAAACCAGAAATTCGTTCTGAGTAGTAAACGGGCAAACAGCTGTGCTCTTAACGACGAAATAAAAGCGACGAGAGTGTCTATACACGTGTCGATTCCCATGGCTGATAATAACTGATAGAGCTTTCCTTCGTCTTCGGAGCCCTAGTTAAGTAAAGAACACTTCTTATCATCATTAAGTATTATTATCTTCTACTGGATAATTCCAAAGAAATTCAGACATCGTCGTGCATCAAATTGCAATGAATAATTTGAGATTCTTCCTAGTAAGCTTGCCCATCTAGGCCGATAACTACCTGCAGGTTGCTATACCCATAAACGCTTCCGAATCAGCAATGTACCAGTTATATTAAAAAGGTTTCAGAGTATATATGACCGCTCATAAAGAGCGTCCACTCGAGTGCTCAAGATCCTTGTTTTCATTTCTATTTTCACATCACTCTAAATCACAACCTGAGCGAATTCCACACCTCGTGCAATCGATTCGTTTCCTCATATATATCACCTACAAAGGTCTTCCAACTTTTTCCATATGAGCTCCACTACTTCTAGTAGAAGACTTTTATGTCTCCTCTATTCTCCTCGCCACAGGTAGTCGCCAGCCTTTGTGGGTTGGGGGAACGAATTGACTTCGAACAACTCTTTTTTCCCTCTTTACATTTGTCCCTTGCATTTTCTATCTATAAATCCAAAGCAGAATCAATACGTCCATATGTCATGCGTTTCAGTGAAGGAATAACTGCAGCTAAACTAGTACTATTAAATCTTTTTTTTATTAAATCATTGTTCGCTGTAGGAATTCATGGGTGACTCAGAGTTCTTGGATTGTTGAAGGCTTAGCAAGCTTGTAAACAAAACTTTCTTTTAGTGCTCTGATAAATTTCTAAACATTTATTTTCTCGAGTTCAGAGCCTGATCCAAATAGGTGCTTTTTATATGTCTGCACAATATTAATTTCTAGGACAATTTTCTAAGAAAAACCTGGCAACATATAGCACTTCAGCGTATTGTATGTAGCTAGTAGCAACATAAGTGGAAACCGCTCCTTTCTTTTTTTAAAGGACTTCGTAAATTATCGAAACCTATTGGACCAGATGGTTATGGCTTAGTTATAGATAATGATCGATTCACAGCTGCTCCTATAGGACCCACTTGGCTGCATGTGAAGTGCTGAACAAAACATGCCTCTATAAAAAATTTTAATCACACGAGATTGTTAAATAAACTCTTTATTCGGGTAACGTTTCGACATCTTTAAGTTCTTGAGAGCCGATTGCTCCGAATCCATGGTCCATAGTCGCTTGTAATCGCGATGCGGGTCTTCGTAGTCGTATCGAGACGACGTCTTGAGTGGAGAACTGTTCGAATGTTAAGTTAAGAATGCCAGAAAACTGTTCAGTCTTGGACCACTGACAACAGAAACGACGTTGACGCCATGCAGCAGTAGAAGGTAGACGGATAATTGGATCAGGTTGACTACTGGTTTCTGATCGATTCCTCTAAATCACGAATATCCAGCTGTTAAAACGGTTCTTAGCAACAATTATTTACAGATTTACTCTGAGATACGCTTATCTATATGACACTTCATCACATGTCGTACTTGTTTCTGTACTCGTTCCTTTCGTTATGCAACAGTCACAGAGGTTGGAGTTGAGTTCAGCCGCGTTTTTAGGACCTCCGGTCATATTCTATAACTACTGGCACTTTAATGCTGGTTATTCGTGCTACTCATCGCAGTTAACTCTGATGGGCTTTCTTTGCTAACCAACATCTCTTTAAAATGTTGAGCTTACAGGAGGCCGATAAACACGTTTATTTCGGCTAACGTCTTTATCAGAGCCGGTGATCCGTGTCGGTAGCTATAACAGCACAGAGGAATGCCCAGAGATCACACGCGACTTGTCCCCGCATCTTCTCATCAATTTCTGATGTTGAGTGCCGCAGTCATCAACCATATACGACTATAATCAGCTGTTCTAATCTTCCTCATTGGAGGTCACGAAAAAAGTGGTGGGTTTTTCAAGAAGTTGTTGATCGTGTAATTACCATAGAGTTTTTCGTCTTTTTGTAAGTGTTATTGAAGCGTTTGGCCTAGTAGATTGTATATCAGTATACCCTTCCAGGCTCTGAAGAAGGCGATACTGCCGAAACGTCAGCCAGTGTTGCATTGTGTGCCTTTTGCATGGAAGTAAATGCATCTCCATAACAACCTCGCGATTGCTGAACAGGAAAATAACGCATTTATAGCCCACTGCCAACGTTAATAGAAAGTCGATCCTGGAAACTGTTATGAACATATTTATCAAACTCGTGTAAGATCAACAATTTAAAGACATGTTGATTATTTTATTATCCAGGTTAATGACGGTCGGTTTGAAAATCGTTTTGCTATTCTTGATTGCCAATTTGCCACTGGAATTATTCCAACATGGCAACGCTTCCTGTGATATTGAAAGCAGTGTAAGACGCCGAACTGATTATCGAATATTCTTCTTCATAATTTACAAAAAACCTCCTCAAAACTGATCTGCGGCTGGGACTTCGGGAGCTCAGCGAACCAGTGTTTTGAGGTCACAGTCGCCTTAGTAGAAAACTACTCTCACGTTGGCAAATCCCCCTCTTTTCTTCAAATTTTGGCTGGTTGTTTCAATGAACGAAATGCTGTGGTAAAACTTTTGAGAGGTTGGCGAACTTCGAGTCTCCTAGAAGGTCACCAGCACTGCAGTAAACAAACACTTTAGCTCGACGACATGAACACTTTATACTGCTATTCACCCATAATGCCAAAGCAATCTGCTTAGTCTAAGATCTTTACGTTCTTTTAGAAGCCGATATTCTCATCAAATTCCATGTGACCAGCGGCCCAAAAAAGACGAAAAGTAGAACGACCGACAAGCACCAAATACATTACGAGATCCTTGACATCCGTGGAAAGGAAATTCTGCTACAAAATTTCAGCGGCATTGGCTTTGTCGTACAGCTTTGGCATGCACTCACCTGTCTCCCATCAGGTCACCTCACTGGGCCATTCTCTGTACCCTGTGTTCACTTGAGAGGAAAACCAATGTAAAAGCCGCTGCTCACCAAAATCCCGCAACGGTGAATTTGTTGTGGGAAATTGCCATGTTACGAAGAATCGGAGAAAGCAGATATACGGTTGAAAAATTTGGAGCACAAGACGGAAATGGGAGTGGAAAGCGTTGTTCTAATCTTCTCTTAGACATGTGACTCTCCTAGCAACGTTACTATCGCGGACATTAGGTACATCCTCACAGGAAGAAGATGTTACTTTCTGAATACCTCTGTTGTTCCATAATTCTTTACTGGTCGCAGTCACCATCTTCGTTGTGTGAGACTCGATTCGCTCATGAGCTGGAAAAACTCTAATCATCACCGAGGAGGAAAACATGTATAACGAATGCATTTTGAACGAAATCTTTCCCTCATGTAACTGGCAGATCAGAAAAGAGCCTATCAAAGACTTAGTTGCATGCTGAAGTACTTTGAAACTTTGCTAAGCGCATCCTAGCTTCGCTTGGACCCTATTTCCGTCATCATCAAAGAGTTGCTCGAAAAAAGAACTGCATCGTGCTCCTAATGCACTGCACATAAGCTGGCTAATAAGAAGGTTCCATTCCTGTTAGAGCTTCCCAGAAGAATTTACGTCAACACAGCCGAAGAATGATTAGAAATAGCTAAAAAAAAGCAGCGTGAAAAAATGCCAGAGGAATATGTTTGGATATATTGTTCCGCTACCAACCCTGATGTGGGAAGACGGAGATTGCTATCACCTGCTACCATGACATGGCTTCAGGATCACATAATTGCCGACTTCCATAGAGCCAGAAGCCTTAAACTATATGCACTTTATGCAGTCCATATAACATCGCACTATTAAGAGCAAAGGGACCCAAACCAGTGCCCTTCAGATGATTACCCTACTCAAGGAAGATGACCTATAAAATCTCTGTAACTATCGTCCGACATACCTGCCGAGTGTACTGTATAAGTTTTTCACGACAACTATATTATCGCGCACATAAAGAGTTCAATTAGGCATTCCGTTGAACAATTAGAATTCTAAAAAAGATGTTGCTACGTGGACCATATCAAAACTGTGTCCAATTTTACAGCAGCTTTTGAGAACAGGTGTGTTGTCTACCAATAAGCTTTAATAATTTCAAGAATGCAATTTTTTCGGCCATAGTCGACCAAGGGCCCGCCATATCGCATATGAAAGCCCTAACTGCTGTTATCGTTCTTCACTGAGAGGAAAGGAAGATTACACAGTAAAATTTTTGTGGATTTCTGTCAAATCTTTATTTTCTTGTTTTCCTTCTGTTTCTTCTGAGAAATGTCTCTGGAACAAAACGATGTGCTCAATACTTACCTACTTGAATCTTCAATGGCCCGTCCTCACTGCTTGCGCGGACCCTAGCATAATCTCCATTTTTCAGAGAGTTGCTGGTCAAGCCATTGTGGTTCTCTGGACACTCAAAGTCAGGCTGGCCAATGCCTGCCTCAGGTCTTTACCACCGCAAGCGATTTTGTTAGTTTAGCCACTGTGGTTTCCTGGAGTCCCGAGGTTAGCCTAGCCAGACTGCACATGGTCGCGACCACCCCAGGCCATTGCCGCCCTTGTGGATCAGAGGAGGATTTGGTACCATGAGAGTAGTTTGATACCAGGATGGTGGTGGATCCTGGTACCGGTTTACTCCTAGCTAGGATTCCTGATGGAAAAACCAGACTCCTTCTCAGCTTGGGAGACCTTGCCGGGGTGACGAATTGCCCACTGTACATCGCAGTCCGACACCAGGGAGCACCTCCCAGCCACTATGAGGCGGTAAACCGTTGGGAGGATGAGCTCAATAAAGTAGGGAAATCTAAACGGTTTTCGAGAAACGTTCTATCTCTAAGATCAAAAGGAATATTAAATGGTAACTAAACACAAAATTGCGGCTAGCACAATAAGCAGAAAAGGACAATAGATGGAAGAAAAAATTTATCTAATAGGCTTCAAAACGATGCAATCGCCTTCTCGGAAGACAACGCATCCGATGGGGGAACTTGTTTATGGATATCGTCATCCACCTGGATTTGCGGCCAGAAACCATTTATGGGCTATAGAATTTTTCTTGGGGACTTGACCATACTAAGAAATAGACCGTCACCGTGATCGACGATTGCGCAAAAAATACACGAAACGGAAAGTGTTGGGCGGGCATGTGCCTCTTGTGTATTCGCTATCTTTTCATCTCCTTTCGTAGCCACATGGGAGTAAGAGCGTTATGAGTTGCGAGGGTCTGCCGGTGTATCTGTATACCTGTCTGCCGGTCATCTTTGTAAGTAAGTTTGGTACTGAATTTCAGATCCGCAACGGATGGAGTGCATGCTTCTCACAGTTGCATGATCAAACCAACGACTCCTGGTAAAGAGTAGTCACGGGTGTGAAGAGCACCTAAGGTTCCGAGTTTCGCTTAGATCTCAGCATCCTTGTTGCTGTATTTGACACCGAACCTTACTCTGGAAAAAAGAATAGGCAGTAAGTGGGAGTTAGAATACTATGATCTCTTGTTCGTTGTTGCACAGCTCCGCATACTGCGTGACCTTACCTGTAACCTTTAACGAAAACAACACCATCAAGAATCATTCGTTTTGTTTTCTCTTCGTTTCCTCATAACATCAACAGCTCACGTAATCCGCATCCGTGTCTCCGACGATTCTACTGTAATTGGTGGTGTTTCCATCGCCACGCCTATCGTCTCATAAAAACGTCGTGTATTACGCAGTCGTCGTGCACCTGTCGTCAGTACGCCGGCGTAATTCCGCTCAGAACAGTCCAGAACTACTTCTGGTCAGCAACTATATCATGCAGTTATTGTTCACTTTTTTATTGATCTACCATGTTGAGGCTCATCGAAGTAAGTAAACATTTAATTGGCAGTTATTAGCTAGCTAATCAATACTTTCATAAGATATACCACATAACTGTGGTGTGGCTATTGTCTTTGTATTTTTGGAGTTCAGGGCTTTGTGAAGCCGAAGGAAACTGTAGGCAATGTGCTGATACACGATACTCTTACTATAGATGCACACAACAGGTATTGTTACAGTAATTGTTGTTTTCTAGCAAACAATGCTGGAACTTATCATAAATTTTGTTATGCTGTATGGAACATCGTTTGTTATTTGTTTCAATTTCCATCTTCTCTAAAATGGCTTTTCTGATTTCACTTTTTACGTTTCTTCCACCTTCATATTCCTTCCTAGATAGGCTTTTCATCCGGACCTTTAAAATTCTTACAGTAGTTGCGTTTCGTATTGATTTGCCGCTTAGGACGATTGCTTTCTTGGAGAGCTATGTGATCGTGGTTTTTGCTGCCCGACTCTACTTCGCCCAGTTGTTAGTTTACAACGTGAAGGTAAGACACTTCTGAAGTAGGTTCTTGTGCTTTCTTTCACCCTTTAAGCTTATTTAAACTTAGACCGCTGAAGTAAAACCGAGTGTGTTGTAAGATAACAAAAAACTGCTTTTCTCTTTCACACAAGATTCTAGTTTTCGTTTATCTAACTTTCTTATAACGATAACTCCGCTTACTAATAAATTCGCCGATTATTTTCTAAGATCTTCGATAATTAATCAGTGAATCTCACTCATCTACTAATATCACGCTGCAGTACCATCACACCTTACACAACATACAATACATGCTAACTCGTCGTTAAATGCAAGTAAGCCGGAAAACTCGCACACGAACGAGGAGGCGCTGTGCCCAGACGGGTCTCATTGGACGAAACGTTGCCATCAAGACAACGAATGTGCCGCCGGAACTGAAATATGCGCCGAAGGAAAGTGTTGTGCAAGTGAGTGAGGCACTCTTTTATTAGCTTACCATTTTTATATGAACTGAAAACAATAACCTCAAGAATTCCTTGTAAACTGGTCAAAAATGGCTAGAATTTTTCTGAGTCGGTGAAATACCGTTCGAGGAGTTCGTACTTAGCATTTTTTAATATTAGATTTTTGTGGTTAGAAGGTTTCTGTTTATAATCTAGTACCATTAATTTTGAACTAACACATTATTCCATTCTTTTCCGACGTAATTTTGACGAATGAACGCCTCATACAAGCGTCGGAACTCCTTATGGATGCATCACGCATTCGATTCCATTCGCAGAATCGTAAAAAAAACTGAACGCATATTTCTCTATTACAGTAGGTTGCTGGGCTTTCCGTTGTTAAAGCCAGCGTTTTTTATCGCGTCGAACAAATTTGCTACCAATGCACCGACCACGACGTGACAGTAGGCTTGGCCAGGTCGGAGAGCAGAGTTTTGTCAACGGTTTTGTGTTTATTGCAGAGACCTCTAATTAGTGTGCCACACACAGCTCGTGTCACTTCATGTACCTGCTTTTGTACTCTTTTATCTACCACCTCGTTGTAGTTGTATGTAAAAGCGCTTCCTTCTCCAGCTGGTTCTTTTTTGCTGCCTCATAATTTCCATAGGAACAAAAGGAGAAGAAAAACTTTCGCTGTTCAAGCGATTATGCTTCCCTTGGTGATCCAGCCTACTCGTGGTCTGAGTGTGTTAGTCCTTGGCCAACAACAGGTTCTTCGTCTACGTGTGATCGCCTAATCCGTCGACATTTTCTCGTAAGCGTTTAATAGCCATGCAACCGATTTCGTCATAGCATTGATACATTTGACTGGGAGCATGTAATTGACATACGGAATGAAAAAGTAACAATAAATAAACTCACTGTCGTCGATCTCCTTCATAGGACCACCTGGAAGCGCTTTTCTCAAAATCTTTCGGCAATGGCTGAAGAATATCCAATAACATGTCGACCAGAATAAAACCAAACGATATTTTCTAGTGAGTTTCAACCAAAAACAAAGTGCTTCGGTTTAATGGGAAATTGGAAGTTCTGTTAATTTTTCTATGAATATCCCGCATGGTGCACCTTTAATACTGATACGGTGAGTTAACCAAAAATAAATCAACAAAGCACTTAGTCACTATTAGTAGCTGGGCTATGACATAAATTGGATGCACTGAGCTCGTAGTGGGATAGTAATTCAGCTCCGAAATAGCTAATGATACATTTTATGGGGTTGACTCTCCGTAATAATGGTAACCTCATGCATGATATGCACGAGTTAATGTGATGAGCTAATACTGTGTGTCGTTGTCGAACTGCATATGATAGAGGGTTCATCTCAACTAAGAGTAAGCCTAAAACTCCAGCGGTCCCCAGAGCAATCGTTGCAGTTATGGAATGGTAAAGTAGTCGCAAGGCAGCAAGAAAACCTACAGAATAGTCGGTGATCATCTGTTATGATAACGTGGGCTGCACCTTGACTTGGTTATCTCGAGGCTCTTAGGAAAAAACTTATCGAACCATCAAAATAATACTCACAAGAGAATTGTTTTGGAGTTCTCATGATTTCTAATACAGGTTGTCGAAGTAGGTATGGTGAAACCTTCATTGCTTCTAGCTTCAAAGTGAAGAAGTGGCCAGTACCACGAAGGAGAAGAGTGTGTTTGATCCGTTGGGCCCTGTTCGCTATCGGTTTTCTTTGTCTTTCGTGAAAAAACCGTATTATCTAAATTCTTTTCTGCCTCACCTAAGTATTCTTATATAATGTCTCTATATTTTAGCATTAATACTTATTCTAATTGTTTAGTTGTTTGGTTCATCTTTTTCAACGACATTTAAAATTTTTTGGTGCTAATTTTGACGCAAAACAGATTTTTTAAGTAGCTGTAGTGAGACCAGAGATCACTGATGCCTGTGGGATGCTCTTTACGCACAACTTATGCTTTTCGTCTCTTCAGGTCTCTGAACTTCGTTTCCGAGTTGCAGTTCTCATCGCATTATCGGAAGCGTTTTAAATTTGCATTAATACGTAGAATTATCCGCGTATGATTCTCAGTCGAGGTCAGGTGCCTCTTTAGGGTTTCGCGGACTGACCTTTTCCTAATCCTAGTTGTTCGGAATATTTGGCGTGATTGTGTGTGAAACGAGAGCGCTGACCTCTTCGTGGCTCATCGACAAGGACGTTTTTCTCCTGACATTCCCCTATACACCCCTTCCCTTAGTGAGATGTGATTAGGCAGTGTCAAAGCCACCTTGAAAAAACCAGAAACTTTTTCGGAGTCATAAAATCTCGTTACGATCGAATATAACACAAATAAAAACTTTAGTGCTATGCCGATTACCGGTTATACGAAACTCTCACTGTTCTGAAACGTTGGACTTTATAGATGATGAGTGAGTGGGAGTGAAATTTTGAAAGAGTTACATATTATTCAATCTTTCAAAATTTATTTGGCGAATGTGAGAAGTACTGGAATACTCCTAGCGGAAGTGAAGACGGGTTGTATGAAAATAATAAAGAAAAGTGAAGTTCTATTCTACATTGTAAAACAACTTCTTATTTGTCATTCATTAACATCTTTCTGACGATGTGTGTTGTTTTCAATGCGTAGGATGCGAATATGGCAACCGTTTTCAACTTTAAACCGACCGACATATCAGTTTATGCTAAACTCGATTAATTGCAATTGAAACCAGGTAAGAAAACTAAGAGAACTGTAAACAGCTCTTAAAAATCGCAAAAATAGACGATTAGAATCTACGACCCTTTTCTAGAAAATGCAAGCCTTCTTATTCCATCGTGGCTCGTATTTCGAACATAGGAAAGAAATAAAGTGAAGGCGTTCGCCCAATAATTGGCTATGATGCCTCCCGACGAATCGTTGATGTTAGCAAATGCCGGTCTTGCGTTGGAATTCTCAAAAATTTAAAGTTAACTTTCATTTTCTAAGAGTTTTAATGCTTAAAAGGTTTGAAACTTGAAAAACATCTTATAAAGAGTGTATAAATCCTGTAAGTGATAAAACAAAGTCTTTTCTATAAGTCCATAATCTTCTCAACTCTACTATTCTACAACACACCTTCTCAAGCCAGTTTTCCGATAACTAACGATAATTTCTCGACCAGTAATTGAAAATTTGAAAACTTAGAACATTTTTAGAGAAAATTTTGCCCTATTACCTTAATTGCATGAATGGTTTTATTTTCAATAGGGGCGCGTGTGGCGCAGTGGTCAGAGGCACCTTGCAAAACGAACGTGTAATTGATCCTGCGCTCATCGCCAACCAAGCTTTCCATCCCTCCGGGCTCAACAAATTGTTACCAGACCTGTCTGGTAGAATAGCAGCGCTGGCTCGATACATTAGCAGACCACCGCCAATCATTGTAAAGGCGAGATATGCGTTCAATCACCTCCAACGATACTTAATGAATTCGAATGCATGGCGCATCCCTCAGAGATTGATCAACGCCGAGAGCTTTATCCTTTTATGGTTTTCATAGAGTGTCTCGTACGGTTTAAATTGGTTCATAACTGAAATTTTCAAAAAATTCAAAATGAGATTGAAGTTTACTGAAAATTCCATCAGTAGAATTGAGGAACAACGTCCTGTCGTACTGGATGGAATGTCACTTGTTCATTTCCTATTATGTTCAAGATTCAACTGGCACCTGAAATATGTTGATTTAAAGCTGAAAATGGAAATTATCTTCCTATCGAAAATGTTGCACACAATGTAAAGCGTTGTGTGTTAACGGGAAAAGTCAGTGTCATTGCGAATCTGTTAAATAATCCTCTAACTCGATGCTCTACAAATCGGCTTTAGTTACTTCCAACTACTTGGAAAGTTATTCTCGCAAATTCATGTAGATTTCCACAGCTTTCTTCTCCTCGTTATGCTTTCAGCAAAATGGCAATAGTTTAAGAAAAATTCCACTTCGCGTTTATAAAGCAGCTTCTTATCGCAGTTATTTTGAAAATGATATCTCCCTACTATTTCTATCCTAGATTCCACCTTTACATTTAAATTTTGTTATATCCGATTTAGCTTGTTCTCGACGTCGTCGGCTCGTCCTCGATCAGTCGGCGCAGAACGAACTACTAGGCTTGGTCATTCCACAATGTGAAACAGACGGAATGTACTACAGAAAACGGTTAGTTTTCTTTATTACCTAAAATACTACAGATTATCACTTTAATTTTTGCTACTAAAATCTGAAGTCACAATGATGATGAGATATTTGCAAAACTTGAACTCCAGGTCCGATTTGAACCTACGATTACCATTTCTGGGGCTCACGTGTTATCCACGACACTACTTAGGCCCTCCCTTTGCCTTTCTTTCAGCTTGCTTTTTTACCCTGTCATGAAAAAATAATATGCAATAAACAGTAAATAAAATGTTATACATTCAGATTTCAGAATATTGGAAAGCACCAGCTCGCAAATTTTCGTTTTCTTTTAAATTTAAGCCAATGAAATCCTGTTTTGAAGCGTTCGACTATTTTCAACTATCCATAAAAACTTGTGACGTCTACAATAATAGCTGCTTTGTATTTAAGTCTTTCTCTGTTATCGTAACTAGATTTAGTAATACATTAAGTAAGGGCCTTTGCAAAATGTTCACTCTTTGTCTGTAGACAATGCCGTGTCGGCACGGAGTCCTGTTGGTGTGTAACACCACTGGGACGACGTGTAGTCGGAATCGGAACGGAATGTGAATCGAGGCGAAGGAAACAGGAGAATATGGTGATGAAAGCTGTGAAGCTTCGAGATGAGCTAATTCGAGGCAAGGTACAGTTCACTCATCTCCACTTTCTTACTTCCCCTTAATTGTCTGATGAACATCTGAATGGATTTCGAAGTTCTAAGCAGAAAGTGAAAAATCTATTCTTGACTCGAGTAAACATTGATGAATGCTTTACTATGGGATTAAGTGTTGTTCAATACCACTTTATTCTGGAGTTTTCCTCTTTACAAATCAAATACAGTCGCCAAAAAAATTGCGAGCTTTGGCAGTTCATCTTCTATTTTCTTAAATGTTATTTGGATACTTACACAGCCATTGTTTAAGAATAGCTTTAACCTCATTAGAATCTCTGTCCGACCAGCTATTTGTGAAGCAAATTTGTTCCCTGGCATTCTGACTTGTTGCGAACCAGCTATTTCAGAGAAGATAGTAACCATGGGTTGTTGCCAATCGTTTTGCATGCAAAGAAAATCGGAAGGATTTGGAACTTCACATCAAATTTTCTTCCCTGCTTGCCTTTTGGAATATCGAGCCTTTTCTCAGACACCTTATTCTTCTTTTCTTTTTTCTTTACATCGCAATTCTGCGCCATTTAATGAATATGGGTCATTGAAGTAACAAAATATACGTCTTTGCAGAAAACTCACGGCTCTTCCCATACGATGATTTTTTCACTACACAAGACTACTTCAAACTTATTAGTTATGAAGTGGAGCTCTTTATCATTAAATTTTTCCGTCGTAATATACACTGTGTTCTAATACTTGAATGCTTTAGTGACCCCTTACCATGAATAACGAAGAATTGTTTGTGCTCCGCCGCAATCATCTTTAACTGATAGTATTTAAATGCGTAAGAATTTATTTTCTTTGAGTCTCAAAAGCCTTACTCAGACTTTCCTAGGTAGTTACTACTTACTATCTAACCACTGTTTACAATCAACATGGCAATGATTGCAGTTAATTCTTAGTTTTCTTGTTGATCAAACCCGAGGTGTCATTTTATTCTTTATTCAAAAGCAAGTTGACGTTTTCCCGGATTTTCCCCTTGTCTGAGTCTGAAAAGGTGAAGTTGACAGCAACGTACCGAGCAAAACACTTCCATAACCAAACGGAGAAAATGCTAAACCAAGATCTCAATCACATTGAGCACAGAATAGCTTCTTCGCACACTCAGCGCTTTCTATGAATCTTCCACTGAGTATGTCACGTGGAGACCAATTGCACAGAGTTCACATGGAGGCGTAATGTGCCTCTCACATCAAAACGACAGTCTTAAATACTGCCCAATATCACGCGTGATTATGAGGCATTCCTCCCTGCGGTTCATTTTCGGATTCTTAGAATTAATCTAGAATGCCTCTAGAATTGTTATTTCATTTTAATGTCAGAGGCACATTACGCTTCCATGTGAACTCTGTGCGGTTGGTCTCCACGTGACATACTCAGTGGAAGATTCATAGAAAGCGCTGAGTGTGCGAAGAAGCTATTCTGTGTTCAATGTGATTGAGATCTTGGTTTAGCATTTTCTCCGTTTGGTTATGGAAGTGTTTTGCTCGGTACGTTGCAGTCAATTTCACCTTTCCAAACTCTGACAGAGGGAAAATCCGCCGAAACGTCAGCTTTTTCTTGAGTGAAGAATAAAATAACACCTCGACCTAGCTCAGCAAGAATATGAAGAATTATTTGATCAATGCCGAGGCTAATAGAAACTCGGTCGTGGAAATTAAATCCATTTGCTGTCATAATCTGAAATTAGGATCTAGAATGGGTCCGTCAAAGTTCTTCTCAACTTGAGTGACACTTCTGGGTGTTGAACCTGTACAGTACATAGAAACTAGTCGTCCTGGGCTCCTATAAGACACATTGAGGCAGTAGACCAATGGAGTTATATGAGATATATGCATACGAAAATCATAGTTTGAAGAAAAACTTGATACTTTTCTCAAACTTAAACAGCAATATATTTTACGTGAAACCAAAATATTTCTTCATACAGATATGCGAGGAGTATCGCAATGGCGATTGCCCGTCATCGTCTACTGAGAACGACACCGTATTGCCGTGTCTTTGCGATTCGGACTGCCCGCCTTCTCGGAAGTGCTGTGCACATCAAAACGAACTAACCTGCCAAACGCCTGGTACTAACCGACAGCACTAACTGTACTCACAATGCTCGCTGAATGGTTCTTCTCCTTAACTAAACTCTCATTCGGCCAAATTGCCTCATCATTGCGAAAGCAATATCGATCAATTTCATGCACTGATTCCAGTACCATCGGCCGTACAATCATTGACGCTTATCTGTGGTATGAATGAACAATTCTCCTCTTGTCATACACCTTGTCAACCGTCATGTGATGATCCTGCACTGGCTCCATGTCCACCACCTACCTGCACACCTGGGTGTCATTGCCAACCTGGTGAGAATTACTGATTTATTGTGCACTTGAAGGGACTTGAATGGTATCGATGAATAATGAAAAGCATCTTATAAACTGATTTTCTTTAGCTAGTGCGAGGTTGGTAAAGGTCTTCGTTATCGTTGTCATTGTTGTTGGTGTTATTGGCCGATGGCTGACGTTTCGGCGATTTCGTCTTTCTCCGAACCTGGACGCTTTTCATATTAGAATATTTCAATTATTCGGTGGGAGAAAGCTAAGGTATTAACGACGGTCAAACTTTTAAATAGACGCTGCATTGAACGGAAAGGTGACTCACCGTGATGTTACGAGTGGGACTGGCCCACGCGTTGTTATTGTAGGGTCGCGAGCAAAACACACCCCGGGTCAAAATATCATTCCGAAATAGGGAGCCAGGTCACGCGTGATAGTGAGGCATTCGTCCTTCCGGTTCATCTTCGGATTTTTGAAATTTGTCCAAATCGCCTCAAGAGTTTTGCGCGTTGATGTTTTCCATTCCTGTGCTAGGATCCGCACAGTCACTTCAAAAGCATCGTCGGTGTTTTTGTGTCCTATGCGTACCAAGGGCAGTATTTTGACGAATTTTAACTTTTCCATCCAGGTGTTCTTTTATGCAGGCAAAAAGTGGTCTACCCGTTTCCCCAATATATTCCTCACCGCATGCATTACATGAGATCAAGTATATTATACCTAAACTCATGCAATCCCCGTCTCTCCCGTTGGGACAGATCATACGGTTTTCTGAGCTGCACAAACGACCATAGAAACGCTTGCGAACTAACTGATGTCATAGGGTATTGGGTGGGATGCCAACAATCGTTACATAATTTTGAAGATCACTTTAGGCACCTCTTAATTGTGTAATTACATTTGATATCAAGGGTAACTTAAAAGAGATCTTACTTACGTCCGAAACATTATTTTGGGGAACTACCCTACGTTTTTGTCTAGTCCGAGTGGCTCCCACTTAGTGGCCTTTGCAAATGGCCATTTTTCGTGCCAGGCTTGCTTTTCCTTCATTTCCTTTTCATCTGTGCACACATTTCTAGCCGTACGGTCCATGTTTTTGATAAGTGCTTTCTTCATGTGTGAAGGATGAGAGGAGTGGCAGTGAACTAGTGCGTCTTTACTATTTGGCTTACGATACCATTTTGTTGTATAGCCACTTTGGAAGCCAGTTCTCAGTTGGTTTTTCCCATGTAAATTTTATATACTCTGAGTTTCGGTTTAACAATTCAAAGCGCTCATCCATCTATTCTTGTCTGGAACAGACGATGAAGCTGTCGCCTATGTATCGACAGTAGAGTAAGGATCGGTGACCGAGAACACTCCTCTAGGTACGCATAGGGCACAAAAGCACAACGGCGATGATTCTGAAGTGACTGTGCGGATTTTAGCGCAGGAATCGAAAACATCAGCGCACTAAACTCTTGAGGCGTTTTGGAAGAATTTCAAAAATCCAAGATGAAACGGAAAGACGAGTGCCTCACTATCACGCGTGACCTGGCGCCCTATTTCGAAATGATATTTTGACCTCGGGGGTGTGTCTTGCTCGCGACCCTACGTAAACAACACGTGGGCCAGTCCCACTCGTAACATCACGGTGAGTAGCTTCTCTGTTCAATACGACGTCTATTTAAAAGTTTGATCTTCATTAGTACTTTCGCCTTTTTCCACCGAATAATTAAAGTATTCCAATATAAGATACGCCCTGGTTCTGACGAAGACAAAATCGCCGAAACGTCAGCCGTCGACCAACAACACCAACAACAACGACAGCGTCAACGAAGACCTATAGCAACTTCGCACCAGCTAAAGAAGATCAGTTTATAAGATCATGTAAATAAATATATCAACTGTCTATTCAGAAGTTTATAGAAAGTCGGTCTTTTGAATGAAAAGCACCATTTTTTTTTAAATTATGAACTTCTACATTGATAAACTAGAGAAGTATAGGCCTCTACGTGGTTTTAGATCTTTCTGAGTGACTTTAGCAGGGTTTTCCCTACATATAGAATGCATCATTCGCTACTCATTGTTACAATTATCTTCACACTAAAGTTGTTTACGCAGCACAGTGGTTCGGGATGGCCCGCAGTACACAGTCAGCCTTTGGTTCTATCTCGCGCCTTCCGAAAAGCAAACCTTTCATTCTTCCATAATGGAACAATTGAAACTTGTCTTTAGAATAGCGAACACTAACCTGGTGCATCCATAGACCACCACAGGCTATTGTAATGGTCAAAAATGTATTTATTCATATCTACCTAGGAATAGAGTCGAATTCACGACTTAATCGTGAGATGTTTATCAACACCGAACGCTTCCACGCTTCGTTCACGCTAAACGTTCAATGCAGACAACAAAATCCGATATCACTGGTTTGATAGGAGAATGATAACTGGTGATGGGCCGATGTCATCGAACGACGAGATGTCGAGTAATATTGATTGATGGAGTGGCTTAGTCGCTACGAGGATTTTAAATTTATTCAATAACTTAGAAGAATAACATCAAGCCACTGGAAATGCAAATTCTTGACTGGTTTTAGCTCGGAATACGGAAAAAGCAAATGACAACTCAGTCAAGAAATATCAGCTTTTAACTTTGTTAGATATCTAGATTCTAAGAGTTCATCGATATAGTTCCACACGTATACGCGCACAGAATCGATCAGGTTAAAAACCGGGCGGTCAGACATAGTTTTTGTGGGAATCTTGAGATAACTACACTATGATATCCAGAAGTCACAACAGGTATTCCGATCGCCAATGTGGATGAGTGGGATATCTACTACTCTTCCACATGGATTATCTGCTAATGCAAGACAGTTTCCAGATTTTCCTTTGACCGCAATCATAGAACGCTGCGGATTGAAAGAATGTTTACCACTTTAAATTAAATACTTTAGGCTGACAGTGACTTTACCGCCTCATCGTGGCTGGCAGATGTTACAGGGTGTCGGGCTCCGATGTACAATGGTGGGATTCATCCCCCGGCAGGGTCTCCCATTCTAAGGAGTCCGGCATTTTCATCAGGAAATCTAGCTAAGAGTAAACCAGTGTTAGGATCCACCACTATCCTGCTATCAAACAAGTCGCATGGTGGCCACTCTTCTTCTGATCCACAAAGACAGCGATTGCCTGGGGTAGTCACGACCATGTACAGAGTCTGGCTAGGATGACCTCGGGACTCCAGGGAACCACAGTGGCTAAACCAACAAAACTCCGAATAATGGAGAATATGCTGAATCCTACACAAGCAGTGAGGACGAGCCATCCTAGTGTAAAAAACAAGCACGTTTCTTGAGCTACTAACGACAAAACGGCAGGCCAAAGCCTAATTCGTAAGCTTATCATGAAGCTTTATCTTGATTGACACGAACAGTGTGAAATACGACTTTAAGACGATGAGATTGGCACAAAGAAGGATTTGTAGCCAGTTCCAAGAATAGTCTTTAAATGATCACAATAACGACGAAGAAGTATTGACGGAGAGCGCCCACTTCTGTGCTCGCACTTCAATTTGAACGGTTCTGTTGCTCCTATACCGACGCCGCATGTGGGCCTTACCGGTAATGGTAGCCCTAGAATCGAAGCCCACATGGAGTCTCGAGTTTTGCTCATATTTCAGCAACTTCGTGGTTGTATTTCAAATTGAGCCCTGTTATGAAGAAAGAATAGGCAGTAAATAGAAGTTAAAACATTGCTTGTCTCACGGTTCAAGACAATGGTTACAATGCTAACTTTTTATTTCCTTCCTATTACAATTTTTCACGGCGGTGTATTATGTGAAACACAACCATAATGATGCTGAGATAGTTGCAAAACTCCAGAGCGCAGACGTCTGTAGTGGGGAATGAACACACTACTAACTTTTCCGGCGCCTCACGCGTTCACCACCACACCAAACGGGTCGTTCGTTCCGCCTGTCTGTCAACTAGCGTCAGCCTCTGGAGGGAGTTATAGGGCGTTCGTTCCCCACCACAGACACCTGAAGTCCGGAGTCTTGCAAATATCTTGGTATCACTATGGTTACAATTCCTCGTGAAAATTTCAAAAACATATTATGAAACCGTTCGTCACCGAACACAAAATGCTTGGTGGAACGCTTTGGTACTCAATGAATGAGAACATAGCCTTTAACCTAACTTCTGAATTTCTCTCGAAAGATTTACGTTCTTAATAGTTTTTAGGATCGTAGACTTCCGTCGTTAGAAAGCTTTGAAATGGATTACCGTCCACCGCTACTAAATTTCTATTGTCTACCACTAGAACAACTTCTAATCTATTAAATCCAAATATGAAATGTAATCGACTTCTTTGAACTGCTATCAAATCAGTCATCCACGGCAAGCTATAGAACTTTCTGTTTATTGACTACGGAAAAATTTATCGATTTTTAAGGATTCATCCGCGCAGACGGTTCGGTGCGATCCGCTTGCGTACCGCGCGCGGCCTGTGCGATGTACGACTTGACGCGGCGATGTGTCGATGAACGACGACAGTACCATAGTTGTGGATCAGCGTGTCCAGTTAGCTGTGACAACAGGAATTCACCCAGGTTGGTCCAAGTTGCGCAACCAAAGGGGATTTCTCTTCCACTTCACCAGCAATCACAAAAACACTGAACATTTCTGGAATGAGAGAGCCATAATCACGAATACTGGCTTAATTCAGATATTGCCGCGCTTGTACCGAGGGATTTTGGCTTTATCAGCTTTCTTAGTCACTCTTCTCCGTAGTTCTTCTGTAACGCATAACAGGGGATGTGCATTGTATACAATTACAAGTGGCCAAAAAATATTCCGCACTTCTACGTAACTCAGCTCATACCGAACTTTACTGATTCAATCATAAATATAGTTACCAACACTTAACGGTTTACCGCCCCATCGTGACCACGAGGTAACCCTGGGTGTCGGGCCGCGATGTATAGCGGGGGTCTCATCCCCACAGTAGGGTCTCTCAAGGAGAAAAGGAGTCCGGCGTTTCCATTGGGAATGGTCGCTAAGAATAAACTAACACCAGGATCCACCATGGCCCAGGTATCAAACTAGTCGCATGGTGACGAATCCCCGCATGATCCACAAAGGCGACGAATGCCTGCGGCGGTGACTTCCTAGGACTGACTTTGACCAGGTTGACCTCGTGATTCCATGGAACCACAAGTGAGAAAAACTCCGAAAAACTGAAAATTATGCTGGAGCATCCACAACCAGTGAAGACGGCTTATCCAAGTATCCAAGCAAGCAAGTAAAGTTCTTTGCTAACAAAATGTAATTTTTCCTAATCTAAGCCCAGACAGTCGAGGGAACCTCGTTCAGAAACAGAAAGGTTGAAGCACAAAAAACGCATTTCTTTCCGTTTCTCTGCGTCTAGGTTTGCACTTCCGATACCAGAGCGATTAGAAAGTAGAAATTTTATGGCAGAAGACAGCAAGATGTCTCACAAAATTTCTTGATGTTACTAGGAGTTAAGAGAAAAAGCCAGCTTCGAAGGTTATGAGTTAATTCTGGCCTTTACGGGTGCAAAATTTCCTCTGTATTCACCTTTGAACACTTAAGAGAAAATTCTATATTGTAGATGTCATGAAAGTTGTGTATCCGGATGCTTTTGTCGAATACCATATGTGCTCGAAAATGGTAACGATCCACTTCATTCACGGTTAGTTGAGGTATTTCTCTAGCGGTGCTAAAATAAAATTTATCTCTGTTTTGCTACTACTTTGATATTATTTCCATCAGTTGAACAAGCCATATACAAGTTAAAAGTTGTACACTGAATCCATGACACAAATCTGCCTGGCATATTTTAACCTCAATTTTTGTAGCTGCATTCTTCCATCGCAATGTCCGCTTGTTACTTTGAGCAACCGTGAGAGTCCAAGCGGTTCAGTCAGATCTGGGGTTCCAGTTTCAAATAAGGTAATCATTCAAAGAACTGTCATATTACCAGCCACAGAAAAGCTCGTCGTGGTTATAAGAACGGGCTGTCACTTCAACAGACGGGGCAGGTCGTCCAGATTTCTGCTACAAGAAATGGATGTAGATGAACATCGCTCGCATCCCTTTGTCTGTACTATAAAGTAGTATAAAAAAGTGACATAGTGTTAGTATGAAAAGGAGTCCAATCTGCACATTCTTTGTTATAAATGAACTTTTTATTTTTTAAACGGAAGCGATCTTGATAACTTTTCGGGAAGATGCCGCATCCTTAAATATTTCTGAAATCTAACCGTCATCTAGTTTCTTCCCAAATTATCGATTTCAAGCAATCCTTGATAGTTTCTATAGATAGTGATGGACCATTTTCCAGGAATGGCTTCGAAAACCAACCGGTGAGATCTATCCGACTCCTGGAACTGCGACGCTACTTCCCGATACCAAGCAATGCAGTGATCCACTGAAAAACTACTTTAATTGTGGGACGAGTTGTCCTGGTACAGATTGTTTCAGATTTTTTACTTTCATCTACTTCTTTATTCTTACGATTGCCGTGATACTGGAGTTAAATGCTTATTGTTTAAATGCTTTGAGTTGGATGTAACGATCTCACTCCATCAACGACATGCAGCTTAGCATGTGTTTCTGGATGCTTTTGTCGATCACCGTATATCCTAATGGATGCTAGGGTGAGGGATAACGTCAAGCTTCTTTTCCTACAGCCTCTACAAACTTTAATAGATCGTAATCAATTATTTGTATTTGAACTGCAATATTGAAATGAATGCATATTTTCATATACATTTTACATACACGTCGTTGTCATCCGGTACTGATTTAGTGTCATAATTATGATGAAATGACAGAACGCATGCCAGTTACGAGCTCCAACCCGCGATAGCCAAATTAAAATGAGTTCCTTCCGGGAAAACGGTAATTCATGACATTGGGATTAGGATAATTTGGGATATTTTGGATATGTGAACGTACTGGGATATGAACCCTCTCCCCCCCGTATATCGCAGTTCCAGAACAACGTGTTCTCCATAAACCATAGCGACATGTTTCTGCTGGTCGAGGCACTACATACAAAAAAACCCCTGAATCGATATAATCTTACAGCATTTTCATCAACTTGATCCTACAACACTTTCGTTTAACGTTCTAATAAAAGTGCTTCCAATAATAGTTTTTAAGGATAGCCTAAAGTCTCGCTAAAAATCCATATGAACAATCAAACGCATTGTCCACTTAGGATCCACAATCTGGATGTGTGTTACCGATGCACTGTCCACATAGCTCCTCTCCGACTGGTTCATGTGCCGATCCGCGAAAGGTGTGGACAAGTTGTGGAGCACTTGGGTAAGTGCGGTCCCTTTTTTTCCATTTTAATTATAAACCATAAAGAATGAAGCATTCAGCTGTGATCAATTTTTGAAGGATACCACACGTATTCAACTTCATTAAGCATCGTTGAAGGTCATAGGGTACACATATAGCCTGTTCAATGATTTTCACTGGCTTGTAGATTATCAAATCAATTCTGCTACCAATGTTACCAAACAGACAAGTGGTACCAATTTGCCTACATCGGAGGGATGGAAAGCTTAGGACCCCAGGGTGGACGATCAAAGCAACGACCACGTGTTTATTGCGCGGCTCCGCTAACCGCTACTCCACACCCGCTCCTATTTCCGCTATGCACTGTGTAATGATTCATTTCATTAGCTTGATCGAATTTCATCCTTAAAATTCCTTTTCATTGTGCCTGATATGATGATTTCTCTCGGTTTCTTTGACACTAGAATAAACGGATCATCGAGAATCAAGTAGGAGTGGATGGTCAGCTTACCTGGCGCACTTTGAATTTGCTTCACTTCCTCTAGAATTTCATTAAAGAGACGTGAATTTGTGTATCACTTTCCGAAGTCCGCAATTCATAGCAATTCATGAGATTACCATTGGCCAACTTGGTGGAAAATGAGCCCACCCGTAGTCAATCTTCATAAATAATTCTTGTTTCTTTCTGAGATTGATTGAGTCTTTTTTTTGCTTCATTTGAAGTCGACTCTTTTCGTCATATCTTTAGTTTATTTATGCTTCGATTCAGTAGTGTACTTCACTGGATTACTAGGGTGGGATACTTTCTTAAATAAGAAAAGGAAAGTTTTCGTTAGATTCTGGGTATTGACTGTACTGTCTACCACATATTTGAAAGCACTTGGTGGGCGTTGCATAAAATCAGCGGCGTGGTTGCCGTCAAACTTGTCACAGTTGCGTTAGAATGGCTCGGGGGGAACCATGGTGTGTTAGGGAGGTAGACGAGTGTCCTGTGAGTTGCCAAGGGGATTTTCTCTCTGGAAAATCTGAAAGAAGCTGCTTTTGTTTTTCGGCCCAACTGATTTCGTCTTTTCTATTTCTTCGATTCATTTTCTCTAGTCGCTTTGTTGGTGGAGGCTCATGTGACCCGTAGTTTTCAAACATTTCCATTTCTGGACAAGATTTTTTTCAAGTTCAACGTCAAAATGTGCATTTAAAAAGATACACAATAAATAAGTCGACGATTAGATGTGCTCGATCATGTACGAATCCTTTGGGTCGATGCGAAGCCGGTCTTTGCTCGCCGGGTTGTGTGTGCCGAGAACCGTACGTGCTGCAGGTTAGTTCACAGCAAAAATAGTGTTTATTATCATAAGCAATATCATCTTTTTGCTCTATCTGTCTTTATAGACCGAGTTTAACTCTTAGCTTGTCCTGTTTATATAATTATTATCTTCATTATTTTTTTGTGTTATTCCATTTTTTGTTTTCTATTATTTGATTTTATTTTTAAAGAATTATTTGTTTGTTTAATTTTACTTGCCAGTTTTCATACCCACTGTGTGGATTCGAGCACTTTTTGCATTCGATTTGTCATCTCGCTTTCGTCGCCCACAAAGGTATTCGTACTTATGCGTTTAAGTTCGGCTGCCGCTTGATGATTTTTGTCTTCGCGATGAATGTCACTGAATGCAAGTCGAGACTCCGGTACGGGTTCGAACTAGCACCTTACCCATGGTGAACAGTATCACTACCACTACGCTTCCTGTTCGCAAAGATCCTATTAAAAAAATCTATTACAGAAGTCTTTGTCATCTACTCTATAACACTGCGTTATCGATGAGGCAAGTAGTTGATAGAATTAGCGGCACTTATGATACGACTGTGCTACAAACTCGTCATTATCATGGTATTCGAGAAACACTCAAATAGATCAACGCTGAAGTTTTGTTCCTTTTGAAGAACACTTATTTCCTATTTGTTGCTGACTAGCAGAAACCTTGAGAAAGTAGACACATACGATTCCAAACGATTTTCGGTAAATTTGCTAACATCTATGCCAGTGGAAGGAATGCTAAATCATGGAAGCGATACACCCTCACCTTTAACTCACTAAGGTGCCCCCAACACATCTATGTATCCAGTTTGATTTCGTCTTATTGGCAAAAGTGCGATAGAAGCACGCCGAGGTGTTCAACTCCGACTTCATCGAACAGCAACACCTTGGCATTGCTTGCCCCTGAAATGCCCAGCTATTCGTCGTTTGCACCTGAGAGTGGTTTCGAACAAATCACTCTACGCGATGCGGAAATCCGCGAATGTATTGTGCACTGATGGGGAACTGTACGGGCAACAAAGAGACGGGCGTTTGGCAGATAGAAATGGCGTGCTTTTATATATCACATCTGGTACGAATCGTACAATACGTGCGTTTAACCATTCCGCTTCTCATGGGTGTAAATGCGAGGTGAGCTCGGAAAGATTTGTATTCACTTTCTGCTTTTCTTCTATACTACTTTAATCAGTTATACTTTATTGTAATTTTGAACATACAGGTAGTGGTATAAAATCCGGGAAAATATTAAATGAACACACATTTTCATTGCTTTGTCACATAATCTTTTCCTGAGTTCCACTTTCGACTTTGCACGAATTCTTCATTTCTAAAAACCTAGGATCCCATGGATCCGTCGTCTCGTTGTGTGCTGCCATCGGAATGTGCGCGCAAGTGTAACGATCCGCTAAAGGTCAGTTAAGGAAAACTATTTTTTTTGCCTATTTGATTTATACGACCCACGTTCACGGGTTTTGCACACAAGACCACTTTCTTTCCACTTGACTCGTCATCTTGAATCCGTCACCATCCACAAAGTGATCAGATTTCCATGTGGTTTCGGTCGTTAGTAGTTGTATCATTTTCATGAATATCGTTGAGTGGTCTGCCACAAGGATAGTTTTTTTGGCACGTTCCTAGGTCTTCATTGCTGCAGCTGCTGGCCTGGATCGGTGAGACATTTCCCAAATATGTCTGGCACCAAGATGTCAATCTTGCAAGGACAAAAGTTTGATGGGTCCTGTGAATGTTGTAACAAATGACCACATTATACAGCACCTTTAGCTATTAAACTCTTCATCATTTAAAAATACTATTTGGTGGACAATAACCTTTAATACAGTTTATACCCTTGCGATTGGCTTGCAGAGTTTTCTGGGGTGTTGAGTATACTTATGAATTTGACTCCATAGTTCGAAAAGCAGAGAAAACTACAACTTGTTACCAAAGCACACATTGAACGGCTAATGATAGATGTTCGCTGAAGTTTCTTGAGAAAGAAAGAGGGAACCAATAAAGAAACTCACATACGACCATTCTGCACAAAGAGAAGTAGCTGAAAGAATGGTAGGAACCATCATTTCGTTTTCTAATGAGCACATTCTACTCTACAGGTTTTCATAAAGATTGCTCAGACCAAACATGATTTCCATATCATCTATACTTACGAACATGACATTTGATTTTCAAGGACTTCTACTTAGGCGTAGACATTGTTCAAGGAGCCAAGTGAGTCAAGTAAAACTTTGCTACTTCTAATAAATGACGTTGAAAGCCAATAAATCAAAAACCTACGGTAAAAGATTGAGGAATTGTCAGAAGGTATGGTTAACAGGTTGGGCAAATAGGATAAAAAAGGATAAGGCTGTCGGCCTTGATCTCTGAGGGATGCACCATGCATTTCGACTTCATTAAACATCGTTTGGAGGCAACTGGATGCATTTCTGGCTTTTAAAATGATTCGCAGTGGTCTACCGATGTACCGAGCCAGTGCTGGTGTCCTCCCAGACAAGTCTTGTACCAATTTATCGACCTTTGAGAGATGGAAAGCTTAGTGAGCCAAGGGCGCAGGGATCGATTCAACGTGTACGTTGCAAGGCGCCTTGGACAACTGCGCCACGAGCTAGTAGAATAGGATTGTAAAATTAAGTCCCACTCGTAACAGCACGCTCTGAGGAAAGCGAAATCACCGAGACGTCAGCCATCGACCAACAATGCCAACGACAACGGCAACGAAAACTCATGCCAACCTCACATTAGCTCAACAAAATCAATTTATAAGACCATATAAATAAATAGGATGCAACTTCTCGTAAAATGGCAGAAAGTTCAATTTATGATGAAATGTACGACAAATCCTAGTCGATGGTTCTTTGATTTCAGAGCCAACATCATGCGCTTGCATGGCCAATTCAATGAAAATGGAGAATGACATAAAGTGAGAGTCCCGTCAAAGAAGGAAAGCAGCAAGGAGCACGTGTGACTATCTTAAAGAAATTGTCGATGATAGACTCAGAGCTCAACCCTCACACCAATTTACACAACGATCCAGCTAGTGTTCTGCTATGCAGCTGAGATATAGATTGAAATCTAAAGAATTGCACGTTGTGGGTATTAAAAAAACACAATTTCACGTCTAACTACCAGTTCAGACCTTCTAAAATTATCTCAGGTACGCAGTTATGCTGTACTACCAGTTCAGGCCTTCAAATTTGTCACTTCGCACAGAAATACTAGTAATGAAGCAGAGGTAGGCTAGTCTTGCGATGGGACCCATTGGCAACAGATGGCGGTGAAGGACGCTGGTGGTGATCACTAGAGAATATAAGCGTTTTTTACGACAACACCCAAAAAATAGAATAACGTGTTTGTTGCCTATGTCAACCAACTGCACCCGCAATTGGAGGCTTATGGAGCGCAAAATCATGTGATGCAGATAACGTCATACTTAAAGGAGTTGGCTGATACAGACCTCTTCGAGAACCATGATCGTAAGCGGAAGAGGCCATGGAAAATACTTTAAAGTTTCTGACACTTTCCTTACTTAGACACTTGGATGTCCCTTCTTCACTGCTAATGCCGTAAAAGTACAATAAACAAGCATATCGGGTGGTAGTTGCGAAGATTCGCTCGGTCGCTCCTTTTGGAGAAAACGACCGTGCGCTTCGTCCTCCACTGGTCTGGGATATTATCCTTCTGATGGTAAAATCTCAAATTTGAAAAAGTACGCGTAATTTGTACCTAACAACCGTGAGGAAATCTGAAGGGAACTCATCGGGTTTTGAAGCTGTACCTCTCTTCATGCTTTCTACTGCAACTTGAACAGCAGAGCACAGGATCATAGGTGGCTTTGCTCCAGCTGTGATTTTCGAGTTTAAGACGAAGGTTATAACATAGAAAAGATTAATATAAGACCTTCCTTCTCTTTATCAGTTCCATGTATTGGCTGGGCGTGGTGGTTGTTTCATGTTCGTTCCTCGGGGCGGATTGTGGGACAGTATAGTGTCAAAGATCCCGATGGGACTTCTGAAGACCTCGTCATTGTTGAGCTGCTTTTATTTACGTTTAATCTCTGTGTTGATGTAAATTTTACTGTAGAGATTTTTTACAGTTAGCATTTATTATCACACCTGTTAGGTGTTTTGCAGTAGGATCAAGTTTCAGTTTTGCTCTCTTCTCGTGCAGCTCCTTAGTGCTAATGGAAATGCTGTCCGAATTTCTTATCTGAGAAGCTCAGGAGAGTTTGGAACAAATTTTAAGTCCTTCGTCAAACAGCTGTCTTCGTTTTCGTTTCTTTAATCTGCTACTCAAATTTAGGTAGGATTTTGCGCGCAATGTTTGCCTCATACATAGCCACATTTTCTTCAAGGTCTATGACGTGGAATTTTTTCAAGATTGCTGAATCTGAACTTCGCGCCATTAATGCGGTGAATGGACCCAGTACAAAATGAAGGAACCACCGATGTACCAAAAAATTGCAATTGCTGGTTATGAAGATATGAGCAATCTCCGTATGAACCGTGCCGTCAGGAGACCCCATGTCCATCTGCTATTGCTTCCGGCATTTCGTAATGGAAATGTTGCTCTAAAAATGGAAAGGGATCCGCCATCTAGTCGACGTACGTTGTTCATTCCGCTTTTCGTCTCTTGTAGGGCGAAAACATGGAATTTGATGCAATTGGCTGCCCCAAGAAGAGCGTAAAAGTCGGCGTCCGAAAAGACTGAAGGTGTTATAGGTGCAAAGCAAGAAACAGTTTCAGTGGTGTATCGTATGCCTGCTCATTCTGTCCGTTTCCAGTGATATCCTTTTTAGCTCGAGATTTGAAAGGCCTCTCACCGGTTGTCTCATCGTCGCACGTTGTAAATTGGAGCGCGCGATAGCTAGGCCAAAATATTGTTGGTATAGCCATTGTAGTTTCCTCCGATCCCGAGGTCAGCCTAGCCGTAGTTTTGCTCAATTCGTCACCAGCTCAGGCAGTCGCCGCCCTTGTGGATCAAAAGGAGAATTTCCACCATGCAACTAGTTTGATAGCAGGACTGTGGTGATTTCTGGTAACGGTTTAATCTTATCTGGGCATTCAGATGGAAACGTCGAATTCCGTCTCAGCTTGGTACACCTCGCTGGGGGATAAACCCTCCGCTATACATCGCAGTCCGCTACCCATGAGCATGTCCCATCCACGATGACCATTAGGAGAACAGTTCTTTCAACAACCCAATCATTTGTTGCTTAATAAGTTGCAATCTAAGTCAGAGATATTTAGGAGTTTGTGGTCTGTGGCTCGTCATGCCCTGTCGGCTGCGATAACCGTAGACCACAGAGTTGTACACCGTGTGAATCGGGTTGCTTCTGTAAAAATGGTTGGTTGCATAAGAAATAACTTCATCGGTTGATCAAATCTTAAAGTTTAAAGTTTATTGTTACGAGGTATTGCTCTATTTTAATTTACATCAATGTTTCTAAGTTTTTGTCACAAATCTTAAATGAGCTTTCTCTCTTAGCAATGCTCACTCAACGGCGCTGCTATTTTTTGCAAAAACTTGCACAAAAGTCATGTTCATAGTAAACCTTTCAGGACTGGTATTTCAAAACTCCAGTAACTGGAAAAACTCAGTTTGTGTACGACCGGACAAATGTGCAGATTTTACTCATCAAGAGATTCCAGCGTCAACTACGTTATTGACAACCACTGTGGTCACACTGGAATCGGCTCAATTCTCCACCACTAACGAAAATGGTTTAATGATATCAAGTCCGAAAGGAATTTATTTCCGCTTCCACTTCATCCTTTAGTAGTGCAAACTGTTAAGCCTATAACTATTACGGTAGTTCATTTTGAGCACAGTGACTCTCTTTCATCCTTTTATATTCGGCGTTTTGTTACAAACACGCCGAATGCCTAAAGAAAAAGTTTCCTGAATTTTAGCAAATCTCTTTCTGAGTTTCGAGATGCTTTCCAGTTTTTAAACGCTTCAAATAGATTACTATGTATTCTAACTGATATAAAGGGAAAGCAATTACGTGAAAATACAAACATGAAGAATGTGAGAAGATATTGCGGTTCCAGCAAAATTTAGTTCAAGCGTCTAATGTTTTCTTGATATTTGCAAAAAAAAACTAAGATCAATCGAACTAGCTGAGAGACAGGCAAAACGAAGGACCCGGATGGTGTGGTGGTGAAGTGCGCTACTCCCCGGAAAGGACAACAGCGCGCGTTCGTTCCCCACCGCATACACCTGCGGTTTGGAGTTTTGCAAGTATCTCAGCATTATATACGAGTTATATTTCGCAACATACCCTGTCATTAAAAAGAAAAAGGCAGTAAATAAAAGGTGCAAGGTTTTCTTGATAATCAAAAGCGAAGTCCGTAATACAATGTTCATTTCAACGAAAACTAATGCTTCGCGAATTTTCCTATCCTTAGAGCCTCGAATGGAAGGACCAATTTAATAATAATCTAGCCATCCAAACACCTCCATAACTACGTCAGAAGAAACCAGAAATATAGCATTGGAAGGAACAGCTTCCTCATGCGGTTGGTCTCTGCATGTTGCGGAAGATCCACAAAATACAATCAATCTTTAACGAAATTGTTTCATATGCTACTGAGACTTAGGTTTCAACTTTTTCTGCTGAAGTCATGGAAGTGATTGGCAGACTAGATTGCACATCAACTTGACGTTTCCAGGCTCTAAAGGGAACGAAATTAGTCTAAACCTGAGCTGTTGTGAATAAGTAGTATAACAATAACTTGATGTTTTCTTATCAGGAAAGCAACAAAGTATTAATCGATGCTGAGTTTAACACAAAATTGGTCCTCGGTACTTATCTCAAATTTTTTTTTCTCAATGACGAGTCGATAGTTCAGAACTACCACGACAATGTCCAACTACAACAGTTGACATCGGTGGCAGGCCCTGTGCTGCAGATTCAGATTGCCCAACGGATCAGGCACGACGGTTATCAACATTTTTCAAAATATGCTTTAGAATTTGGAAGCCTCTTCACTGCGTTGAAAAACTTTGAGGATAAAGATAAGGATTTTACTGAAAACAATCAATAAATAGCAGTTTAGATACTCTTCTCGACAGATTTTCTTTTTCAGATCTTAGTTGGCTATTCTAAAAGGGTAACTAGGGCTTTGACGAGAAATTTATCTTCTCCTTTAGCACTTGCTAACTACTCTTCAAAAATGACTAAACTTTTAACTGTTTTGAATCTTTCGTTTCTCACTTCGATCATTCTTTCTTTTCCTTTCCATTTAGCAAATATTTCAATTGACTCATTCTAAGGCTAGATTTTATATTTCATTTTCCCAGTAACGTTCTTCCCTCTCAACGGTTTAGCACCTCATCGTGACTAGGAGGTGTTCCTGGGCGTCAGACTGCAATGTACAGCGAGGGATTCGTTCCCCCGGCAGGGTCTCCCAAGCTGAGAAGTCCGGCATTTCTGTCAGGAAGCCTATCTAAGAGCAAACCAATACCAGGATCCACCACCGTCATGGTATCAAAGTCGCATGTTGGAAAATCTCCCTGTAATCCACAAGGGCTGCGACCACCTGTCATAGTGACGACCTGGGCAGACTTTGGCCAGTCTTTTCTCGGTATTCCAGGGAACCACAATAGCTTAACCAGTAAATCTCCGAAAAATGGTGATTATGCAGCCTGAGGTATGGCGCCAGGTCACGCGTGATGACAAGACACTCCTCCTTGCGGTTCATTTTTGAATTTTTGGCATTGATCCAAAACGCTTCAAGAGTTTTACGCGCTGATGTTTTCGTTTCCTGCGTGAGGATAGTGACTCCTACCTCAAAATCTTCTCCGTTCTGTTCCTGCATCCTATGCGCGCCTAGTGGAGTATTTTGTTTTAATTTAGATTTACCGACTAGGTGTTCTTTTATGCGGACGCAGAGCGGTCTACCCGTTTCGCCAACATATTCGTGCCCGCACGCTTTACAAGAGATCAGATAGACTGTACACGAACTCATGCAATCACCGTCTCTACCATTTGGGCAAATTATGCAGTTTTTTGTTGTACATAGACGGTCGTACAGGCGGTTGCGAACTAGCTGGCGTCTTAGAGTGCCCGGTGGTATTTCTATCACTCTTACGAAATTCTCTAGACCGGCCCTTATTAAGCAGCGTTTTATAGCTGCACTTATTTCGTTTGAAATAAAGGGCAACAGGAACGGAGCCTTGTTTTCGCTAGAATTATCGCTCTGCGACGTGGGATTACCTCGATGCCTATGCCGAGAAGCTACAGTTTCGTAACCATTTGAAATGGCTATTTGCCGGGCCAGTTTCGAGGATTCTTCCCTCTGCTCTCTACCTGTGCACACGCGGTTCGAAACATATTTCTATCCTTACGCAAGAATCGAAAACATCAGCGCGTAAAACTCCTGAAGCGTTTTGGATCAATGCCAAAAATTCAAAAATGAACCGCAAGGAGGAGTGTCTTGTGATCACGCGTGACCTGGCGCCATACCTCAGGCTAATCCAATGACCTGAGATGGGCACAGTTATCACCCATGTATTACTCTGTGCGGCGGCTATCCATCAACTAACTTAAATACTTACAACAAATAAACGGTAGGTGTTTAAGTGAGGCTGTTTCTTATTCGAATACAGATTTATTTGTCAAGTTTTATCTGTTAGGGTTATAAAAGTGTTTGGCTGAGTAGATCGCATCTCAATTTGACTTTTCCAGGCTCTGAAGAAGGCGAAACCGCCGAAACATCAGCTATTGTATTCTAATAAATTCTATATTAACAACCTCGTATCTGCTTATTGAAGAAAAAACATTGAATTCTAATACATTTCTGTTGTTTTTCCCTACAAATATAAAGTGTATTTTATTGAATTGAGGATAATTCACCTCATCGTTTAATAATTTTGGCATCGGATTATTTTGCTTTTAGCATTGTTGCCGATCGCTGATCCTCTCGTTGGGCGCAAATCCTCAACGATGCACCTGTGCGGATCCGAACGCAGTCTGGTCGGCATGTGGTAGTCTGTGTCCGGAATACTGTGGACAATCGGCGGTAAGCACGAGATTAAATAAAATCTTTGAGAAACCGCCTTTATAACTTATCCTTACTCTTATCTTTTATCTCTAACCTCAAGTTTTAATCTTATCGATTTACTTCTTACAGCGTTGAATAGATAGAAGAAAGTCTGAAATATCGTTAGCTAATAACTCCTTCATGAAGGTGGAGTTTTTCTGTTTTTTACTGGTTTATTATAGAGATGATGCTTATGGGTATCGAGTAGTGATGTACCATAAGAGGTTGATCTCTCAAACAACTACGGCGAAGTAATTCAACGCTTTTAGCGGAAAACCGGGTTAGAAATAAGCCAGCTCCAAAATTCCTTCTGATCTAGTAATGATCTAGCCACTAGATCAAACAATTTTTAAAATGATCTAACGTCAGTCGATGGTGAGGATCTGTTAATATGCTGTTGTCTTCGAACTGAGATAAACATTTACCCTTCAAGTGAATGATGAGCTCCAATAGCCATCACATCATATCATTCCTCAAATATGAGATTTTTCTGTTGTTGTCAATAAGACGAGATAGATACATCACATTTTATATGGCAGCTTTACGAGAAACCATTCGGAATAAAGCCGACGTGAAAAAAATTGAAAATGAAGCCCTTGTCTTCAACATGAGTCTTCTTTGACCTACAGAGGGTGTTGTCATCAAACCTAACCATCATCTATCGCTGCAAAGGTGGATTACTTTTATCAAATACTATTTATTATCCTGCCCAACTGGAAAGTCGACCTATTGGATATGATTTGATAGTGATTTCAATGAGTCTAACTATCTTAACTATTTACTCCAGTAATAGATGTCTAAGGCGCGTGTGGCGCATTGGTCGGAGACGCTCTGCAACACACATGTAGAATCGAGCTCCGCGCCCATGGCCCACCATGCCTTCCATCCCTACAAGGTCGGCAGATTGGTACCAGGCTTCTCTGAGATGATAGCAGCACTGGCTCGATACATCGGTTGGCCATCACAAGTAAAGGCCAGATATGCATTCAGTCACCTCCAGACGTTTAATGAAGTCGAATGGATGGGGCATCTCTCAGAGATTAATAAACGTCGAGAGCTTGTTTCTTTTATCCTTTAATAGTTGTATCTTCGGAGTATAATCTTTTTTTTCCTGTATGGCTTACTACTACCACAACTGCATTACGTTGTTTAAGTTCTTATGCTGTGCAATTACATTCCTCTGAATAGAAGAAACTGGAGATTGTCGGAGAATGAGTTCGAAAAGACACCACGAAACCCAGTTAAGTCCACTCCTTAGTAAGTCGCACTAGATGAGGTATGGCATTAGCGAAATAAGGACGGGTAATATTGCAAGAATTCTTGCAAACTGTGATGTATTCGGCGACTTCATAAAACCCTGATAGTGCCTTCCTCCCGATTCTGGACCAACTCGCCCCGGAAACCTAGGTGAGGTGACCCTATGACCAATAATGAGGAATTGGTAATGAACTATTCGTCAAGGCACGGTTTCCAGTTGTCTAAATGCTCAAGTATTCTCGATTTTGATGGAATAAGGACTATCTGATTTTTGCCGTAATCATTTATTGCATCCCTTAACAACTTTGTTTTGTTTTTTCACCAAATTTTACTTGTATTCTCCAAATTTGGCTTTGTTTCGTCTGCTGTGCTTTTTAGCCATTTTCTTTGATTACAAGGCTCTCATATACTATAATACTAAAACTAGAGCAGCAATATTTCTGATTTAACCAAATCATTAAGAATGAAATACGTCAGAGATTGATTAGCTGCTCAAATCTTTTTTTAAAATAAAATTTAGGTGCCTCATTGTTCGTCAACATGCAATCCTGGTTGCCAGTGTGCTTACGGCTTCGTCAGAGCAAGGAATGATGTCACGGCACCATGTGTTCTACGGACGAGTTGTCCTAATATCACAATAGGTAGGTAACCTACTCAAAAAACGAAAGCCGATATATTTTGTTCCGTTTTAGCACCAAAAAGTCTTACGTTTGCCTTTTTCATCTTTTGTTGAATAAATTCTTACGAAAAAAAAAGGATTCGAAATACCTGGACTCACCACATTCCAGCAAAAAGTGGCGAGCCACGCGCGATGATGAAAGAGATTCCATACACACCGAAGAATCCATTCACAGATCAACAGGTTAGTCGCAAACAGTAATTGCTGTCCGAAGGCTTCTAATACTCCAATTTTTTGTCTGTATTGCACTCTGATAAATTATAAACGACGTTATTTAAATAGATAATAAAAAAGCCAGGTATCAATCGCTGGTCCTAGCTGGGTGGTCTAATAGTCCGCTCTCCAATCTTAACCTTTTCATTTACTGCCTACTCTTTTTAATGGCAGGATATATTATGATAAGGTTGAGATTTTGATTATAACTACAGTCTCGCTTAACTGGGTTCATTGCCGATTTGGGTTCCCTAGATCAATCCCGCTGACGGGTGATTGCTGATGGCAGTACCGATAGAACTAGCTGAGAGACAAGGGAAACGAAAGCCTCGCATGGTGTGGTGGTGAACGCTTTAACCCCCGAAAGGGGTAATAGCGCGTTCGTTCTCCACCGCAGGAACCTGCGAGCCGGAGTTCTGCAAATATCTCAGTATCATAAAAACCCGCTCTTCATCATACACTCAGGAACTAAAGATGATTTAGAAAAATAACACCTATCCGTGCAAGGTAATTCTTTTCCTTTTTTCCTCTCCTCCGTAACCTAGTCTTTCCTCCAAATTCCCAACGAGCATTTCAAAAGCGAAAATTGTGACGTGACTCTTTTCAGATTTTCTAAACCACGTAGCAACTTAATGGTCTTGTTTTTTAATTTTTGTCAAAATCATTCAAAAAGGCTTTTGAATCCTGGACTATTGAATCCTGGACTATTGAGAAAGGACATAAGCTAAGAAGCTTATGTGCAGGAAAGGAAGTCTAAGGATGAGCTAATGCTTACGGAAAAAGCAAACGTATTCGTTTTCGGAGATCGTCTACCTACTTCCATCATCTCCCATTCTAGAACCTGATTATCACTGGAACCACACTGCAGCACTCATTTTTCTCGCCTTTTTAAATCTCTCAACACCTATCAAATTCTCACTCGAAAAATTTGATAGCTGGACATAAAATAACCTACGTTCCATACCAGTTCACAGTTAAGTCGACATTATGTACCAATAATGTCAAATAGTGTATAAAATTTGGAATTTCGAAAATTAATTGCTACCAATAGTATTGTTAAGCTTGCTACAGCAAATCTGGTGCCGGCTCAAAAATCAGTCACTGGTCGATTCAGCTTCACACAAATCAGTGCAAACAATCTTCGTATAAGTGGTGAGATAATATTGTATTTTTCCCCGGTAGAGTTCCTCTGTCGAATTCCTCTTGTTCATGTTTTTCTTGTCCTTCATTGTCCTCTTATTCCTTTATTGTTTTTCTTTCTTTTTTGTTTTCTTTTTTTGTCAACCTCGTGTTAGTTTATGAATGAAGGAATACATCTCCTTCTTTATGCTGAAGAACTTCACAAGGTGATTAACATGACAAATTTATCAACCTCGCGTAAGCGTAACAAATTAAAAACCTGTTAACAAAATGAGTTGGTTGTGTTAAGGAAAAATTCCCGCTTCAACTTCATCATAAATACTTTGCATCAAGCAGGCGCAGTGATTGTGTGTCATCTCGGTACCATAATCGATATCGATTTGTAAATGCATTGGCGGGAAAACTCTTTCTTTTTGGCAAAGGATTCAATACTGATAGATGAATAAATCAAGAAGTAACTTAGAAAGAAAACGAAGAGCATGAGGAAGAATCAATAAAATGATTGAGTTATTTTAACTTCTCTATGAGCAGGACATAAAGGCAGAGATTTTCATGGAGAGGAATGAGCAACGCAGCGGGCGCGTGTGGTGCAGTGGTTGGAGGCGCTCTGCAACAGACAATGGACCGATCCCCGCGCCACAGGCCCACCAAGCCTTCCATCCCTCCTGTTTCCGCAAATTGGTACCAGACTTGTCTGGGAGGATATCAGCACTGGCTCTATACATCGCTAGGCCACCGACAGTCATTGTAAAGGCCAAATATGCGTCCGATCACCTCGAAACGATGCTTGATGAAGTCGAATGCATGACGCATTCCCCAGGGATTGGTCAAGACAGAGGGCTTTAAAGAGCCTTAGAATGAGCGAGTAGTCCTCTTCGGTCGGATTACGGTAAAGAGAAAAAGAGGGATTTGGAGAAGTATTAAATAAGTGAACGATATTCATCAAAACTGTTATAAGCGAAACTCATTAGCAATCATTTAACTTATATGTAAAATGGATTATCTATTGATGAAGCCAATCAATAAGAATCAGAAGTTAGCCAATGAAATTCAATGTTACGTATCCATTGTAGGGGGGAAATTCACTAAAAAGGGGATTATAGTCATTGAAAAATCAGCTTTAGACATTCATTTCTTAAAAAGGCTTGTTATAGAAGTAGTTACAGCCTGTAACAAATTACTAATAGTATTTTCTGATAGAAAGAAGTCGTTATAGGTGTTCTTACTGGTTTACCACGTGGAGAACACGCTGTGCTCATTCATCAGTTCGGCGATCTGTCCGATGGTTGTAGTCGCTTGGGACCACCGTTCCTCTTCAAAAGGGGCGTAGGAACTCCGTCACTTGGTGATGTCATTGGTGAGGATTTTTCGATTTTCCACCGTTTTATGTCAGCAATAAATGATTTTGTTTTCTGATATAACTGTAATTGTCTTCAATTTTTGAAAATAGCATGAATTTTAGGAGGAGAGGAGAGTGTTTGTAGTTTTGCGCCTTTTTCCCAAACTTCTCAAACATAGCTTTCTATCTCACGGTTCTCAAAAAACTAAAACGTTTTTTGTAGGATCTCCCAGAAAAATGTTTATGAACATACGGCCCTTTAGCAAAGTGCTTTTATTGAACATTCTTAAATAGCGCGAGAATGGCGTTTTTTATCTCTATTTATTGATCAATGTGCTAAGTATGTCAATGTATCCACTTTTTTTGAAGTAGCACAATATTTGCGCTGGTCGACATTAGAAAGATTTGAGCGAAACTACCACTTTATGTTTCCGAATTTAATAGCATCTTGAGCTTTTCTGGATAGGATCATGCTGTCGAACCAGTCAACATTTGCGTCCAATCAGCGCTGCATTGTGTTGTGCCATAATGTCCGCTTAAGTTGAAATTGACCATAGTTTTTGAAATCCTAGCAAAAATACTGAAGGGCGTTTGCGGCACATTCGCAGGGATAAAACGAAGTGGATGTGTAATAATTAAAAATAGGTTTTCTTTCCGTGTTTTTAGTTGACGATTCACATTCGGCATCGTTCGTTCGTGTCGTTGATTGGCCCATCGCCGATGTTGTCGGTCGTTCAATAGCCATTTATAGGTAGGCATTCATTTCATGGCTACTATTTTTAAAAAAGTTTTTGTAGTTCTGGTCAAGTAATGTGTTACAAGAAAGCACCATTGTTAGTAAATATTAACAACGAATCTAGTTGGTTAGAGCACACCCAGTAATTTTTTTGCTCATGGTCGTCCTCCACGAAAATTGTTTGCGCGAATGAGTGCGGTGGTGAATTCAACCAATTAGTGTAAGCTACAAATATCAGTTTCTCCAACGAAACCCTAGCCCCTCTTCAGATTCACTCTATCGTTCTTGTCGTCAGTTCACCTCCAGTCGAAACACTTTCGTTATGATATCGCCCCATCTATGGTCAACCTTAGGTGTAACAGTTTCGCTGCCTGATACAAAGGAGATATTTGTCCATCGAAACTATAAAAAATGTTCTGATTTTCCTCATTAGCCCTCTTTTTTATTTATTATTACTTCCATGGGGGAGGCAACGCGGTGGTAGTAGTGCTCATCATCACGACCACGCTTAGATTTCCCAATGGGCTCACCATGTTCATCATCCCTCAGGGGACGAGAAATTACTCTTGGACTTGTCTGGGCAAAATTGCACTTCTGCAATCCAAGTGAGCATGGTAACCGCACAGTAGACGTGAAAGAGAGGTCGTGTGAAATAAATTCTTTTATTTTCTGGAAGAAATTCATGGCACGAATAGTTTCAGATCTTCTTAAAGTTTTTTTATCCCGAAAACCAGTTTTATGTTAACGGCGACAAAAGGATGAAGGATAAAGTTCTCAGCGTTGATCAATTCCTGAGGGATGCGCCATGCATTCGACTTCATTAAACATTGTTTGGAGGTGATTGAACGCATATCTGGGCTTTAAAATGATTCGCAGTGGACTATCGATGCATCAAGCCAATGGTTCTATCCTCCTAAACAAGTCTTGTACCAATTTGCCAACCCCGGCGGGATGGAAGGCTTGTTGGGCCATGGGCGCGGGGATTGATTCCATGTGTGTCTTAGTGGCGCCTCCAACCGCACCGCCACACCCGCCCTCTAACCTTGATACTGATCAAAAAGTTATTTTTTTATGACAGTCGGCTCATCATATCCAAGTCATCGTTCATTTTGATTCTACTGGTAGCTGTAGGATAGACCTCTCCTGTTTCGTCATCGTTTACTAGCGTCCTCTCATTTCCAAGAAATTAAACACTTGTTTGTGACTTAACACTATAAGTACAGCAGGAGAATGGTACTTTTAACGGATTTCTATAGGTCTAGCTAGAGTTCAGATTTGGCGTGAATCCCAAATGAGTAGAAAATCCTCTTAATTCTCTTTTTTGAATTTAAACAAATGTTTGCAAAAACTTCTGAGCTTCTTCATTGGCTTTAGATCCCCATTAAGAATGCTATCATGAAGGTTGTATGCTTACAACACATTAGTTCTTTACATTTACTTCGAACAATGCTAGGTGTAATTTTATCTAATCTTGAAGCTATATCCCTAATAATGCCCCTAATGACCGGTTAAACTCCAGAAGAAACAATTTGTGTTAATCTCTTCTCACCGGTATGTTGGAGTGTGATGGTTAGGCTTTTGACGCTAGTCGATTGAAAATGAGTTTTTCGCCCACCAATTTCACTTTGTCTTAAGAGCTAGTGAAAATCATCTTTATTGACAAATCTGATAAATAAACATTATATTTGCATAGCTCTCAAAAGCAAATTTTCGGAAACTCTTAGTTCTGTTCTTAACATCGCTTCACTTTTCTGGTAGCTACTCTCTGTAGACAATACTGTAGTGTTCTTATTGACCGTTGTACAAGAAATTTACATTGTTGTCTTATCAAGCCTAAAAAGTCCTTTTCGGCAACTCCTAGTTGATGCTAGGAATAGAAACGGCTTTTCGTCAAAAATTTGCGTTATATTCTAGTTTTAGAGTCTTCGAATAAGAATTCAGAGCTTATATTATGATGGAAAGTATGTAGAAGGTTTTTGCCATCATTGTTTGCTTTGATGATTCTTTCTCAGGTATGCATAAGCTAGCGCTTTGTGCTTCTCAAGAATACAATCCTACATATGTTTTCAAACTACCGGATTTTTTATTAAAATGTAGTTGTTTCGTATATAATTCTGAGATATTTGCAAAACTCTGGACCGCAGGTGTATGCTGTGGGGAACGAACGCGCGCTATTGTCCTTACCGGGGAGTAGCGCACCACCACGCCATTCAGGCCCTTTGTTTTGCCTGTCTCTCAGCTAGTTTTTGTAGTTGTTTCACCTGTATGGTCATAAAACTTTCTTTTATTTCTCAGATTCTCCACTGCCGAGTACTCGTTACACGCACAGAATGAGCCACCTCTCGCATGTGGAACTATAGGTTTGACTGCCTTCAACTGAAAACTAGTGCTCTTCTTTTCTAATTTCTTTGATGTTTGCTTTATATGTATGTTTTTGCATTTTTGGCATTGTCTACTCGTTTTTCGTTTTAACGATTTTGACTCTGGTCTTTAACAAACTTAATTGATCGCCCATAGATCCAGTTATTGAACTAATTTTATAGCACGTTTCATTTGAACTTTCACCGGGGATGGCTTTTTTACCAGGTTTTGTTCCTGGAAATTGCAAGGCTAGGTTCACAATTTGACAATTTTACTGTAAGATTTCACTTCAGTCAAAATCACTTCAATCATCAACTTCCATAATGTTCTGTGAGCTGTTGGTTTCGCCTGTTTTTGATCAATTGCAGTTTCTCTCTAATCAGCTAAGATGTGAGATGTCTCGTCCGAGTTTCTTTCAAGGTAAACGATAGGAACTCATTTCAAGCCGGCAATGAAGTCATTTTATTTTTATTATAATAAAAGAAAGAGCTGCCAGAGCTAAGAGCTCCGTTTTGTTTATTCACTTCTCGCACTGAACTCTAAAGATTATCTCTTTTAAAAAAATACTTGATGGGCATTTGTCATTCTCTCCGTCGTTATCAAAAGCTCTTAGCTTGCTGCCATTAAACTTTATTTTTGAAATTTCATAGTGATTCAAGTAATTTTTCCTCGTTTTATTGTTCGTTGTTTACTGCCGGAATAAAGTGTCTTGTTAAATCCTTTATTCATTCACAAATGATTACGGATTGCTAACGATAACCATGATCAAATATGCACATAGGAATCGCAATGATAGATATACCTTGGTTCGACTTCGCTGAACTCCCCAGGCTGAACATGCATCTCTTTGTTTTGCGCTCGAGAAATTGCTCGCATACCGGTTAAGGCAGGACACCTCCCTATCTAGAAAAGCTAGCAGTTGCCTATACTGAAAACCTGGAAACCTCATAGCATGGTTTTCCTGTAATTCCAGTTTAACTGTATTCGAGCAGTATCCAACCACATTCCTAACGAAGCCGACAATCATCATACAGCGTCGAAATCCACATGCGAGAAGTCCGTAGAGAATTTAAAAAGTCTGTTAGGGTCCGCAGAGGTTTCCAACATGAAAGCAAAAAAGAGTGCCTTAATGCTATTTCGATTTGATTTTTTTAGAATAAAGAGGCCAAAAAAAATTGTTTCCAGTACGATTGAAATTTGGTTTCCGGTTTTCTCTTCAGGTAATGGAAATTTTTGGCCAGTCAGATTGCAATTAGCTTGACCTTCATAGGTTCTGAAAAAGGAAAAATTTGCCCAAGCATCGTCTTCTGTAGTTAAATAAGTGGCATAGTAATAACGTGGTGTTCCTTATCAAGAAAGCAACGATTCCTTGTTCAGTGCTCAAGTTAACAGAATGTCGTTCCTGAGAATTACTACGAAATGAACTTGCTTCCATTATGTGCTCCATAAGTGTACTTCACCTTTTTATGCTCGTTACTAGAAAGATAAAAAAAACTATGGTATAGCTGTCTCAGCTTTTCAGAAGAAAAAACGATTTTGATGAGAAAGGCATATCCTACTGCTTTCACTGAGAATAGGAGGAATCGGCCATTTGCCGAGTACACCGGTTGAGAGACGGCATCCTCATAAACAAAAGTTCTCCAGGTGCAGAAGAACTTTGAGGAACATACGGTGGTATATTAGTAATAATAATGCTCTCGACGTTGATCAATCTCTGTGGGATGAGGCATGCATTCGTCTTCATTAAGCAATGTTGAAGGTGACCGAGTGCATATCTGGCTTATGCAATAACTCGCGGTGGCCTACCGATGTATGTAGCCAGTGCTGCTATCCTCCCAAACAAGTCGGCTACCAATTGGCCACCCCAGAGGAATGGAAAGCTTAGTGAGCTTAGGGCACAGCGGTCAATCTCATCTCTATTGCTCCGCACCTCCGACCACTGTGCTACACGCGTCCTATGTACTCACAATGGTACGTAGCTATAATACTTTTAGTTTCAGGAGGCTGCGTGCAAAAAATTGCTAGCGCAGTTTTCATTGAAGGCCACAATCCGCAACCAACATTTCCACATGGAAGTGGAATTCCAGTAATTTCGTTAACAACATGGAACAGTTGTCGAACACTCCTTAACCACATGCTGTCATTTCCAAGCAGTTTTATGTCAAAAGCTCAAAAATGACAAAGTATTCACTCTGGCCTAACAATGAGTTCGGTAAATGGGAATGTCCTAATGATAGTCAATCACAAGCTTGGAGGTAACTGAAAAAAGCATTTACGGCGTCAATCTTCAAAAGTGAGAGCATTGTAGCTACCTTAATGGCTAGATCTAATCAGCCAAACATACACCTGTCCTGCCTTTTCGAAACAGTTGCTTACGGCCTTCACATAATTCTGTAATCGTATCAGCTCCCGCACTGCTTACAACTTTCCACAAACCAACCATTTTGTTTCGTTTCGTGTGTGCCACTCTCAGTAACATTTCGTTTTCTACTTGAATTCTCATGACGTTCTCAAACCTCTCTTCATTGAGGAATGTAACCGTGTCTTTTTAGGACTCACTCAGTAGTTTATACACTTCACAGACGCGGTATCACTTCTGTCTTCCGAAAAACTAGATCACATTGTGCAGGTTTACCTGGCACGATAGAAAACGCTGAA